GAAAAAGATTTCAGAGGTAAGCAAACTAGCATTTGATTTTATTGGAGATAAACGGAAAAGGGAAGGGGGTGTAAAATGAATTGTTGATAAATGCAGGATGTGCCATTCCATCCCCCATTCCCCCTTAATAAAAATCAAAAAAAATCGTACGTTTGCTGCCAAATATATGACTTCAAAAACATTAGTGAATGAAATATTATGAAAAAATGGATTTTGTCTTGCTATTAGATATATATAGGCATATATTTTGGGTTTAGAAAACATTCCATGCTTAAAGGTTTTTAGATGTCTCTGATAGTGTTGATCAGGATTAAACACGTGTCACTATTTGATCCAAATGCAGCTCACCGTCCAAAATTGATGACATAGGTTGAATGATTTTCTTCAAGATTTGCTGCCTATTTGAACATGTATTACACGGACACTTTTTATTTATAGGATCAATCGTGCAATGGTACGGAAGCCGATAAGGGCCATTAAAAAAAAAACAATTATGTCGTAATTACGACATAGCAAGTCGTAATTTCGACATAACATGTCGTTATAACGACATCGCTATATCGTAATTTCGACATAACATGTCGTTATAACGACATCGCTATGTCGTAATTTCGACATAACATGTCGTTATTACGACATCACTATGTCGTAATAACGACATCGCTATATATATATAAGAATATGTATTATGATTGCCAAGAGACTTAATGACACAGAAATTAACAACTATAGGTCATCATAATGCCCTCAATAATGAGAAAAGCCCCGCATAGTCAGCTATAAAAGAGGGACGAAAGATACCAGAGGGAGAGTCCCCGACATGACAGCTGTTTAATATTTTAATTCAAACGAGTGAAAATAACGGTTTTAATAATGTACAAACAAAGACCGAAAAACGAATATGTAACACAGCAACAAATGACAACCACTGAATTACAGACTCCTGACCGCTATGTGATAATAACGGCAACCTTATAGTTTAACTTTTCACTTTTTGATGCGATAGGCATTTCAAAATGGTTGTCAGTAAAGGCAAAGTTTGTAGCGGAAACAAATTCTTCTTTTTTTTTTAGAATAATGAACACTATATGCAATCAAGTTAATTAAAGTTATTCACTAGCACCTCAGACTTGCACATACTAGAACTTTATTTATAATCAAGTCAAATGAGACTCAGTTGAATAGGGGAGCAATTCAAGCTCCTTGGAGCATCTAATTATGTTTGGCATGTACAGATTTGTGTAAATTATGAAGTCCTGCATTTCCATTGCAGGTTCTGAATAAGATGAATTTTAAGCTTTTCCCAATAAAGACTATGTTAAACTTTGGACTCATAGTGCTCAGACCCACGGATCTCTGTACCTTCACTTGTACACACTTGAATCTTAATGTACAGTAACTACTGAGGCTTGATGCAAATTATTACTGCATTGCTATTGTTGGTTCTTAATGAGATTCTTCAAGCGTCCTCCCCATTGAAGCCCTATTAAAACTTTGTACCCCAAGTTCTTTTAACCACTGTTCCCCAGGGCAACTATTCCTACAAACTTAAGGGGAGGGTTAGGATCCCGCTAACATGTTTAACCCCGCCACATTCTTTATGTATGTGTATGTCCCAAGTCTTTAATCTACATATTTGTTTTTCGTTTATTTTTGTACATAAAATAGGCCGCTAGTTTTTCTCATTTGAATTGTATTACATTTGTCATTTCGGTGCCTTTTATAGCTGTCTATGCGGTATGGGCTGTGATCATTGTTGAAGGCCGTACGGCGACTTTAATTGTAAATTTCTGTGTCATTTGGTTTCTTGTTGAGAGTTGCGTTTTTGAACAAACCAGCGTATCCCAAGGCCTTGATAACCTCTGTAGGCCCCAAATAAGACGAAAAAAACATCAAAATTGGAGAGAAAACTGAAAAAAATGGTTTCTAACCTCAGGGATATGAATTCAAACGAGAAAAACTAGCGGCCTATTTTATGTACAAAAATAAACGAAAAACAAATATGTAAATTAAAGACTTGGGACAGACACATACATTAAGAATGTGGCGGGGTTAAACATGTTAGCGGGATCCCAACCCTCCCTCTAAGTTTGTAGGAATAGTTGTCCTGGGGAACAGTGGTTAAAAGAACTTGGGGTACAAAGTTTTAATAGGGCTTCAATGGGGAGGACGCTTGAAGAATCTCATTAAGAACCAACAATAGCAATGCAGTTATAATTTGCATCAAGCCTCAGTAGTACATTAAGATTCAAGTGTGTACAAATGAAGGTACAGAGATCGGTGGGTCTGAGCACTATGAGTCCAAAGTTTAACATAGTCTTTATTGGGAAAAGCTTAAAATTCATCTTATTCAGAACCTGCAATGCCAAACATAATTAGAGGATGCAGGGAGCTTGAATTGCTCCCCTATTCAACTGGGTCTCATTTGACTTGATTATAAATAAAGTTCTAGTATGTTCAAGTCTGAGGTGCTAGTGAATAACTTTAATTAAGCTTGATTGCATATAGTGTTCATTATTCTAAAAAAAAAAAAGATGAATTTGTTTACGATACAAACTTTGCCTTTACTGGCGACCATTTTGAAATTCCTATCGCTTCAAAAAGTGAAAAGTTAAACTATAAGGTTGACGTTATTATCAGATAGCGGTCAGGAGTCTGTAATTCAGTGGTTGTCATTTGTTGCTGTGTTACATATTCGTGTTTCGGTCTTTGTTTGTACATTATAAAAACCGTTATTTTCACTCGTTTGAATTAAATTGTTAAACAGCTGTCATTTCGGGGACTCTCCCTCTGGTATCTTTCGTCCCTCTTTTATAGCTGACTATGCGGGGGCTTTTCTCATTATTGAGGGCATTATGATGACCTATAGTTGCTTATTTCTGTGTCATTTAGTCTCTTGGCAATCATAATACATATTCTTTTATATATATAGCGATGTCGTTATTACGACATAGCTATGTCGTAATTACGACATAGCTATAGTGATGTCGTAATTACGACTTGTTATGTCGAAATTACGACATAGCGATGTCGTTATAACGACATGTTATGTCGAAATTACGACATAGCGATGTCGTTATAACGACATGTTATGTCGAAATTACGACATAGCGATGTCGTTTTAACGACATGTTATGTCGAAATTACGACATAGTGATGTCGTTATTACGTAATTACGACTTAAAATTTATTTTTTGAATGGCCCTTATCGGCTTCCGTACAATGGTGAGTTGATAGGGATTTGTTTTTTTTTTTATATAATATATATTTCCTATCTTTTTTATTGAAATATAAACTTCGGTACCAGCATTTCTTTACTTTCAGCATTTCAGCAATAGAATACTATTCATGTCCATATATTGAAAAAAAATACAGTTACGGACCGATCATTTACCTTCAAAAGGTGGCAAATTCTTTTCTGAGTAAGAAAATTATTTAGTTTTTCAACGCTATCACTCAAATATTTTTTTTCGAAATTAGCACTATTACATGTATATACGGTATTCGGAAAATCAGGAATCAGAACATTATTTTGTCATATGCTTGACCACAATATATCTTTTCTCATAAAATTGGGGATCAAAATATTTTTTTAGGAAAAAACCATAACCTCCCTTTTGAAGTTAAATGGTCAATCCCTTAGTGTACTGATATGAATAGTAATTTACTGGAATGGTTTGAAAAAAAAATATATAGTTATTGATGCTAACGTAAATATTTTAATAAAAAAGACAGGAAATATGTCGGTGAAACAAAAAGTTCAAATCTAATTGAAATTTAAAGTGCCCATGCATGAACTCACTGATCATGCACGAGTGATTCTATTCATAAAAGTGTCCGTGTAACAACTAAAAAGTATCCGTGTAACACCCGTTAATGTACTTTTTTTCTATAGCTCTGCTGGGGGGCAAAGTCGTACAATTGTATGTTTACAAACGTACTTAAAACTTTAAAGATGTTATCATGTTTAACGTGTGTTTGGATCCAATCACGTTAATAGATAGAAACGCATAAAATATACCGATTTTAAAAACGTTTTCATAATAAAAATGAAAGACGTTAAAAATTTTATGAAAGTGTCACATATATTACGATACAATGTGGTTGTTTGTTATTGTTGAAAGCATGATGAAATGTACATCACACATAGGATTATTCGAGTGCACCGACGACTTTTGCGATGCTCAAACAAATATGAATGCAGAACATTGATGATTTGAAATGATTTATAAAATTATTGTTGTCGGATCGTATATTTGCTCTGTGTTTTAATTGGGTTTTCAAGTTTCAGACAAACAAATCTATCAGTTTACTATAAAAAAAAAAAGAAAACCTATAGTTTTATGGTACCAATTAAAAAATCATTTCTGTTGCGAAATTTTTTTAATCATACCTGTCAACCTCTAACGATGGCAAAACTATTTTAGTATAAAAAAAAAAAACTGGTCATAAGTGTAATGGAGTGTACTAGACAAAAGGCTTACGTGGTCCAGTAATAACCCATACGAAGACATTAAGATAACTTTAAAGCCTTACAACTACATTTGTATTTAGAAAAAAGAAAAAAAATGTCAAAATGACCACAGGCGCTTGTGGGGTAGTCCACCCTTTTTTTTTTTTTTTTTTTTTTTTTTTTTTTTTTTTTTGTTCAATTATTACTTATTATTATTTATTAAAATAATGAATTTTCTATTTTTATATCACTAAGTCTTATCTATCACTACTGCGTATGTCTCACCTAGTTTCGAGTGGATTTGCCAGCTCTGTTACAACCCCTTATTTAATATCCATACTTAAAACACCATTTTAGTATGGATATCAAACCATGTCAGAGAATGTAATGATTAAGTGCATACAGAATAGAATTAAAATTTATAAAGTCCAAAGACCCGTTATTTTGGGGAAAATTTATGAATCGCAAGATACTTTGTCTGACACGCATGCAATTGCGTAAATTGTTGAAGTACGTTTCACCGATGATTGATAAGAATATTATTTAGATGATGGTACGTCAACCTTTGTTTATTTCGAATACTGGTGCATTGTTTTAATTGAATAATGAAAGAAAATGACCAGTCCCCAATAACATATCTTAGATTATTTTTTACTTTTGAAATGTGCAAACGATAGCGTTTAGTTATATACGTATTGATTATCAATCATATCAATATAGTTAACTTCAATATCTATGCTTTCACACTTTTCTTACCCTTAAAACTCATTTAAATCCCTTTTGGAACCTTTGTTTTCAAAGCAAAGTCTTGGATATCGACTGCACCATATGTGAGTAGTTATATACAGATACAGGTAATATATTCTTTAAACTACATGCAGACGATGCGAATTACTATACCTCAACCAGCGTTTTTACGTTTACAATTACTATGTATAAAACAGCAGCTCCCGTTTCGTACGATTCGTCAAGTTACGCTTTCGTAAGTTCGTTCGTCAATATCCTGGTCACCTCTACTACACTGTAATTGGACACGTTAATGTACGTATGTGTTTCTTTTGTCTAAAATTTGAATTTCATTTTGGTGAATTTCTACTCTAAGGGCCATTAGAATATCGGACCTGTCATTACCACGGTTGTGACACGAGATAATGCGTAGAGACTCTGATCAATATAACCACTAGCTTGACAACTTTAATATATAAGATAATAGTACATTTGTAGCTAGCATTAGATATTACATATAGTTGGTACTTGCATGCATTTGCCTAACGTCCAGTCGCAAATATTTCATACAGCCTGTATATATACTTTTCTAAAACCTAAATATGTATATATACTAATTTTTCGCCTATAAATTACTATAATGAGAAAAAAAAAAAAGAAAAACAGTCCTGAATTATTTCGTATTCTCGATCTTGTCTCGTTTCGTTTCTTAAAAGTGTTTTACTATAATTATAAATGTTAAACATACTTTATCTTTTAATCAATTTCAGTAATAAATACATTATCACGTTTTAGTTAAATCATGCATATCTTGAATTCATGACAGAAGGTTTAAGAAAGTATTTTTATACGAATCACGGACCAATAGTTTATTATATATTATTATATGTAACTAAGATACTTGAACATACAAGTAGTAGATTTCAATATACCTGCAGGAGATTGGTTTAACAGGTAGGTTTTTTATTTTGTTTTCTTTCAGACGCCATACCCGAGTTCTTTAAACCTATTACAAAACAATCCATTTCAAAGTCTATCAAAATTACTTGCGCAAAGAATTCCTCTCAAGCCGTTGCTAGGGGCCGTCTTAAACTAAGTCTTGCAGTGAGTTGAGGGTTTTTTTTTCTGCGTTGAAGGCCTCATTGTGACTTTGAGATGAAGAACAGCAATACAAGCGCTGCCCCTTTGCTTTTTGTGTGTTTTTTGCTGTGTATGCAATCAATTTGTGTCAATATTCAAAATCATCAGTCAAAAAAAAAAAAAAAAAGACTGACAATGCCATGGCAAAATAAAAACGTAAAGGACCAAAAGACGAACAACAGTTTACAAAACACAACGTAGAAAACTAAAGACTTAGAAATACGAACCCCGCCAAAAACTGGGGTTGATCTCCTGTGCTGCAGAAGAGTAAGCATATTCTGTTCCTCAAGTGGCAACTGTCGTGTTCATGTGATTACAAACCCGGTGATATGTCTAATTAGGTAGGTCAAATTCGATGAAAAGAAGACGGGATTGTTGTTACGACAATTGAAACATATCCGTCGTCATGTGTAAAACTATTATTATCGTGTTATGTTTGTACTGATGATGATAATAGTCAGACGACGATGATGATAGTATTGACGATGATGGTGATCAATTCACATACACACAAGAATTCAGACAATTTGCACCCATGAATATTTTGAAAATATGCATAATCTTCTTATATCTATATATCTCACCATTTTCTACACAAGGGAATGACTGTACCAAGTCGGGAACATAACAGATGTTTTTAATTCGTATGATGTATTTGAGCTTTTGATTTTGCCATTTGTTAAAGGACTTTCCATTTTGAATTTTATTTGGAGTTCGATATATTTGTTATTTTACTTTTTTAACAATTTCTGTAGATAAGAAAATTTTGTAAACAAATATGAACTAGAGAGATCATAACTCAAGCATATTGAATTATAGTTTTTGTATTTGCTATACGAAAGGATTGGAACTATTTGGATAACTCAGTGTCTTGCTCATGCGCAGTCTTAGAAACAAATAATCATGCGTAATATAATTTTGTGTTAAGGTGTCTAGAGAGACTGACCATATACCATAATATAAAGGTCACATACATGTATTTCATGGCCAGGCCGGTGCATAGGTAAAAGATAATCAAATTCCCTAAAGCTTTACTTTAGAGGTTAGATCGCAGATAATAAGTAGTTTAAATTTATAAAGCTTGATGAGATGATTTTTAAGATGGAACATCAATGTGTTTATTTATGGTAGAATCAGATTGGCCTACATTTTACTTTTCATTTACATGTTAAGTGACGTTACATACACAAATTAAGATATATAATAACAACTGAATTACAGGTTCCTGACTGTTTATAAAGTAAGAGATTAATAAGTTTAAACTAAAGTATATATGAAATATAATTATGGCATATCAATTAAAACATATAAATTTCTGAACTACGAATGAAAAGTGGCCTGCTGGGCTATTAAATTGATCTACTGCGCAAAACGTATTAAGATATTGATTTGATATCAAGCAGCAATCTATCTTTTAACAAAAATATCTTTTAACAAAAAAAGATTAATACATAGAAGTTGTATCTGTAGCATAATTCTGTTATTCTTTTTAATAATAAAAACTTGAACATCTATGCAAAGGGAGTTAACTGTTCTTGTTATTAACTGACTATCATGTATTTCTTTTGTGTAAGCTCATTCAATCATCTCCATAAAAAGCTTGATTTATGAGTTGCAGCACATATTTAAAACCGCATTCTAATATATTTTTCCTACTCTTAATGTCCCGCCTGAGCAATGGAAAATCGACGTAATAGTAACAATTCTAAAATTGTGATTGCCTGAATCAAACTCGGTCGTCAGCGAAAGTGTTATAGTACAAACGTAGGAATACATTTTTGTATTTTTTCCCACAGATATACAGAGCAAATTTACATTTGGTAAAAGAATTTTGACAGAAAATGGTAAACGTTTTTCCAACTCTTCTAATAGTGTGCCTCTTCACTGGTACCAAGGCATCATGGGACGTAATTTATCCAAGTATGTTATAAATGGAAATGTTCTGAAACAACGATCAGTGTTACATGTATAATAATGTATAACAAAAACAAAATATTGTTAATGACGTAAAGTACAGATACATCCGTGTCATATTTTAAAGATACAAGCATATAAAAAATAAACTGTGTGATGAAAAATAAATGATAACTGTATAAAACATCTATAAAAAAAACCCTCACAATACTTCACCAGACATTTTTTTAGATGCAAGTCGTTTAAACTAACTGACAATGTAATAGCATAATAACGAAAAACTGTCAAAAGACAAATAACAGTTTACAATACAAATGACTGGGCACACAAACCCCAATAAAACCGTGGTGATCTTTGGTGATCCTGATGGATGAGAATATCCTGCTCCACATGTTGCACCCGTCGTTTTAATCATGTAAGTACACAACTGGGTATAGCATACTTGATGGTATGGGTTTTGCTCATTGTTGAAGGTCGTAATGCGTCTTATAATTTATATCCATGTCATTTGGTCTCTGTTGGAAGGTTGTCTCATACCACATCTCCTTATTTTCATAACGTCCAAAAACAAAAGCCAAGAGGCACAAAGATGAACGGACAAACTAAGAAGGCAAAAAAGACTGACACGCCTAAAAGTTGTAATACCACCATTGATTTTCCCCTATTTGTCTTTGTTAAATTTGCACTTTTCAAAAAATTGTGCAGAATTTATCTTGGTTCCAAATAAAGAAATTCTTGGCATGAGTAAAGTTTTATCCTGTCCAGTACTATCAATAGACAAAATTTCACATAACATTTCATTGCATATAAGAAAATAACCATCACTGGAAGTTAAGCAATCAAATTTGCACACCTTTTTTTCCTGTGTACAAGCTTTAGTAACCATGTAACCTCAAGTTCCCAAAATATTCTACAGAAACACCAATTAAAAAAATAATGGTGCTTTGAAACACCCAATATATATGTTTATGACTCAGAAATATTTTACTGCAATGAAGTGTAGGATTAGTTTCCTACAACTGTCAAATTCAAGGGAATATTTTTTTTCGCCCCTTTTTCGTATGCAACATGCAACCGGATGTGACGTACTATGATTTGGTAGTATTACACCTAAAAGATAGTTGTTAATAATTTTGGAGGAAATTACAAACATTTATCAAATCGAAGAAGGGAAAATTAAGGCATGAGAGTTTATTTTCATCTACAATTTTTAAAATACTTATTTCAGGATTTTTTATATACGACAAAACCAATTAACATTTAATTCTTCCTAAAGGCTATTCTTTTAAATTTCAATTTAAATTTAGAAATACAAATACAATTAAATGTTTCCGTTTCAACGCTTAAGTCTCGAGAGTTATGTCGCGTTATATTTTTTTTTAGTTGCTGTGTTTATGTACTGCATGTATTTAAAAAAATACAATTGATGTTGTTTCAGACACTAAATGGTGTGGCAAAGGAGACAGGGCCAATAACTATGATGATCTTGGAAAGTTGGACCAGTTAGACAGCTGCTGCAGAACTCATGACTATTGTCCTATATCTATTAAATCGTTTGACACGAAATATGGAATATTGAATATAGGAATTTCTACAGTGTGAGTGTAAAATCAAGTATTAACTTGTATAAGAATCAACCGATTAATTTCACGACCGATTAATTTTAGCAACTTTTTGCGAGTACAAAAATAACGTGGGAAATATAAACTATCGTGAAAATGTTAAACTTTGATATTCTCTGCTTACCTTAATTTTTTTTAGCAAAACCTAATGGACATTGTGGGTCCTTTTATGTTATTTTATTCGAGGCGTCATTGGTGTGTTTGTAGAACACGAAATGCGCGTTAGGCGTAAACAATTATAGGCCTGATATCTTTGAAGAGTTTTTGTATTCTAAATATAAATACACAGTGACAACTTCCGAAATTAGCGAAAATAAAAATTGTATTCACAGTTTTGATTACCACCTTTGCAATAGAAAACAAGAACAGATTTTAAGGCATTTGTCAAAATGTCAGATGCAAAATTTTGAAGTTATTGAAAATAACACTTTTCAAAGTTGGTGCGTCCGAGCGCTTACCGTGTTAACCTTCATCAGGTATACTTAAAGTTATAACCCCTCCAAAAAACATTTACAGCTAAGGATGTATAAATACATCTATTCCCGAATACTTTTGGAGCTATATGGCCGATAGGTATTAACCAAACCAGAGTCCAACCACAGTCAAATTTAGTTTGATATGCGAAACCTAAAAAAAAAAAAATATTTGCGAACATTGGCGCAATCATAATAAGTCATTTTTCTCTAGGTTACATTTAAACTGTGAGTTGGTAGACATTTTTCGTTAAAATATGTTGAAAATACTAGTCCGCTATTTATATGGCAAATCCTTTCATAACCTTGGGTCCTCAATGCTTTTCAACTTCGTACTTTATTTGGCATTTTTAACTTTTTTGATTTGAGCCTCACCGATGACTGTTTTGTAGACGAAGCGGGCATCTGGCGTACAAAGTTTTAATCCTGTTATCTATGATGAGTTTAATCATTTATTAAGAAAAAGACGTCTTGCGAAAAACTACAGCAACAACTACAGAAAACTAAGCACATCTTTAAAACATTTAAACAGATGCAACTGAAGCAAAATTAAACACAACCAGAAACAATCGAAACAGCAACAACTACAAAATATTAAACACATCTTAAAGACAATAAACAGCAACAAGTACACATTCATTGATATTCACAAATGTAAGCTTTTAAATCATTTAATTTCCACAGGAGCTCTTGTGATTGTGACGATGTCTTTTTTAAATGTCTTAAATCAGTAGATGGAAGTCAAAAGAATGATGCAATCGCCGTGGGCATTTCGTACTTCAATGTGCTGCACCCAAAATGCATAAAAAAGGAAACGAAATGTGTACTTAAAATGTAAGTAACAATGTGACATCATTACTTCTTATGTTATAATTAATTTAAGAATTTTAGTGATTTTGGAATGTTAATGCATGTATAAATAAGGAGATGTAGTGATTCCTGACAATTTCCTTTTTTAATGGAGGGTCGAAAGGCTGGTTCGTCATATTCAAAACCGGTTACCGAGCTGAAATAACATGGTTTATTGTTCCATTATTGGTAATTTAAATCTCCTTCGAATTTTAAAAATGTAGGAAAGTAATTATTATATATGACACAATTTAGAAGTTCACGTCATGAAGATTATGACAATACATGCGTCGTGAGCAATGTAATTGTTATTATATGTTTAAAGATAATATACACACATTTTAATGGAAAGCACACCACCATTTTCGTGTCGCTTTTGTAGTAAGAAATGAGGAATTTATTATAAAGGGTTCGAATGAAGTCTATTCTCGTTTTGTATATCTCAAGTGCACAAATTTACGTCAGCCGTTCAAAAGTTTTATACATGCACCACCCACAATGTTCCTCACAATTTCATTATCATTTTTAATACCTTATTTTCTATCAACCTATATTCTTTACCCGTTTAAATTAACGCTCGCTCTGTCTAGAAAGCGGTGTAATATATATATAGTTTTTATGGTAAACTAACTGTTTAGTCAATTTTAGGTATTATTCTTTTGGCGTGGCTCGGTACTTAAACATCCCGCCATTGTGTCATTGTGCTATGGTCATTTTTTGTTATTTTGTCTTTCATTTTTGTTTATGTGCTTTGTCTATGTGCCATTTTGTTTTTCTTTGTTTGCTTATATAGTGATTAAGATAACAACACAATGTTGACTGCTGTACCCCTATTTTTGGACATTTTTACCTATTATGTCTGTTTGATTTGTTCACACATTGTTGTCAATATAATGGAATTTTATGCGAATGTCATTCAAGTGAGAGAGGTTTAGCTAGTATATAAACCAGGTTTAATCCAACATTTTCTACATGTATAAGGAAATGCCTGTACCAAGTCAGGAATATGACAGTTGTTTTCCATTAGTTTGATGATTTTGAGCTTTTAATTTTGCCATTTGATAAGGGACTTTCCGTTTTAAATTTTCCTTGTAGTTCGGTATTTTTGTTATTTTTCTTTTTAATAATATATCTAACAAGAGATGGCGGTTGCAAGAATCTTTGCACAACAATGTTGTTATAATTTGATTGCAACATTCACGTATATGTTAAATAATGATGAAGTTGCTGTCACGGTGTTTTTTGAAATGATGGTCTACAAAATGTGTTTGTACGCATTGAACTCAAAGACATTGAAAAAAGATTCCGTATTATTTTCAGTCCTGACAATCTATTTAAGCCAGCCAAATTTGGAATGTTGGTATAAAAAAGCGTTTGAAGTTCAATAACTTTTTTGTCGCTCTGAATACATTAGGAATTAAAATCTACGATAATTTTAGATTTTTAAAAGCCAAACGGTTGACGAAAACAGTTGCATGTTTTTAACGAAAGACGTTTCATATTAAAATAAGGAGATGAGGAAGATTGCCAATGAGACAACTATCCACCAAAGTTCAATAAAGTGGATGTAAGCAATTATAGGCAACCGTACGACCTTCAACAATGAGAAAAATCTATACCATATAGTCAGCTATAAAGGGCCCCTACATGAAAAATATGAAAGAATTCAATTGAGAAAACTAACGGCATAATTTATAACAAAACAATTAACGAAAAACAAATATGACAGACATGAACCAACGACAACCAATTAACTACAGTTTCCTGACTTGGGACAGGCACATAAAGAAAGTAGCGGGGTTAAACATGTTTGTGAGCGCTCAACCCTCCCCTAACCTCGGACAGTGGTGTAACATTACAACATAAGAACAAACTATAATCAAAGTACTGAAGTACTGAACATCGGATGACCACAAGTTCTTTAGGATGGTCAAAAGCACTTGTCTCAGAAAAAAAACAACATATCTCTTTACCTGAAACTGAGGTTAATGTACAGAGATATATTTTTTTTTTCTAGACAAGTTCGTGCGAGGATGATGAATAAATGACAGGAAATTCAACTTCACCGTAATAACTATTATATTGTAGTGATACAAATCAGTATACACTGATTTGTTGTTATATATTATATTAAAATAACAGTTACATATATATATGATTTGCATCCGTTTGTATATCATTCTATTCTACTATTCTAACAATAGTGCAATGCAAGTGCATGGTGGACACTTTTCTGTAAAAATTCGATTTTTCTAAGATTGGATACGAGTAGGCATTCATATTTTCCCGCAAAAACAATTACAGAGCTACCGGTCCTGTCGCAAAACGTTCTTTGAGATATTCTTCCGCATGCTTTAACACAATTTTTCGGTACGTGTGCATTGATATTATCAATGATTTTTTACTTATATATATATATCTAACTACAAAACATTTTCACATTATTATTTTATGTTGTAAACAAAAATATTTTTATCAGTATTCATTGAAGAGATGTATTGATATCATTTGACAAGGAATGTTATTTTGCACTCGTTTATGTGCGCATATTTATCATGTTTATAGATCGGTTACAAACCCAAAACTAATTTACATAATGGAAATCTAGGCGATAGCAATACATCGGAATGACCTCAAGGTCATCGCGATGTAAAAATCAGTTGAAAATGGCATAACTCATCAGATCGATACAAAGCACTGAGAGTATCGCAGTTACTGACAGCTAGTTCAAAGCCAATGAAAAACTATATATATAGATGCATATATATATACATTTGGAACAGACTTTTCACTTTGCAATTCAAATTCAGTGAATTCATGCGGAAAACGTATCCTTCGGAAGTCTAATTAAGTCGTAACAAGTGATAACTGTTACAGTATTTTAAAACTAAGTGTTGTATTAACAATTGCTTTTGTTGAAAATGGGGACTTTAAATTCATGATACATGTATCTCTTTTGTTTTAGATGGGGCCGCTGTGTTCATAAGTCGTCAGGCTATAACCTTTTCTCTGGAAGATGGTGGACATAGTTTGGACGATTACATCGACAATAGATATTTTTCCCTCTGTAAATGAATCATGAACTGAGCTTCATTGAAAGACTATAATTTATTCTAAATTGATAAAAAAAAATCATTTTTTTAAATATCACAATCTTTATTGAATTCTTCTTTTTAAGATCTTTAAATTTTTACTATTAAATGTCTCTTTTTTCAATAAAAGCCTTCTTTTGAAATGTACTGTTCAATTAAAATCAAAATAAAACAAGAATTTCCTATAAATGTCAAATGAAAATAAACCTTCACTTCCAGTTTATCACTTCTTACTTTGAAGAAAGGAATATGTGGGATAGATACGTCAATAAGACAGCTACCCAACGTTACAAATACAAATGACATTTTCAACGATAAACAGAGGTTCTGCGCATTATGTCAAGCTCTACTATGAATCACCTCAAGTTAAAAGGTTGGTAATAAATTTGAAAAAGCGCATGTACTATGCTGTATTAAATGATACAAAACTCCGCCTACATGATAAAAGGAAATGACATTTACTGATCATTTGTGTTTACTAAACATTCAGACTTTATGTCAGGATTTCTTGTTTTGTCCTTAACTATGGTTTCAAGAGTTTCAAAAAAGTTAATGAAAGAAACAAAGGTATTGATAAGTGGACACAGCGAATAAAAGAAAAAAAAATACCACAAAAAAAGGTAAATTAACTCGGTTGCTCCGGAAGGGTAAACATTTAATTTTCTACTAGTGGCATACGTTGTGTTGTAAAACACAGGCACTTGTCTCAGCATCCCCCACCTATATACCTTATAATATAACACACTTATGTTATATTAAGGTATAAAGGAATTTTTTTTCTGAGACAAGTGCCTGTGTTGTAAAACCCGAGAATAAGTCCCACCAGGTGTGTAACAATAGAAGAAAAAGAGGACATGACGTTTGTGTAGATCTAAACTAAAAAAATGAATTTAGCCCTTGTCCTTAAACTGCTAGCAACACCACCCTAAATCAGAGTAATGACGTGCACAATTGTTGCTTCAAAGAAATGTATACTTCACAATAGACCACTTTCGAGTTATGTCCTTCACTGGGAAAAATCGTCAGTTATGTTCGCCTTTGTGACGTCATTTACCAGATAGAAGGGATCGCCTGTATCCCTGCACTATTAAAGTTCATCAAGCGTCTTTGTGATCGTCATTATGCAGGATAAACTAAAAAATAATGTTTGTTCCGTAGGTACTTAATCACAATTCCCTAATGACAGCAGTGCTGATTATCAATTATGAGAATTTAATTTGCCGAATAATTCGTACAATAAAGCATCATATTTTTTCAACCGCTCAATCAACTTGGGAAAAAAGTGACGATGCCCCTAAACGCACGAATGATTTTCACTAAAACCAAAGTTTTTGACGGAAAAGCAGCGAACTTGAAAGTGGTCTAATAGGTTGAAATCTGAAGTATATTACATGCTAATATAGGTCTTTTTATATCACAATAAATTGCCAATTATATCCCTTAGAGCGAACAAAATATTATGTCGTAGATATTTTGATAGTCATTCATTAAAACAATGCGACTTGTACCAATTGGGGTGAACAATTTATAGTTATAAACGAGACTAAGCTGTTTCTATATATTATATACACATTTTTTACAATGCAGTTCTGTAAGTTCTAGTTATAATGGTGCCGTCAATCCATTTTTTTCTTTGAAGTGGCTGAATAAAATCATCTATGAATACCAGCCACCGAATTGAGTACAAAAAGAGTGATTTCATTTAGCAGGTTAAGTACTATGAAACTGCCACCATTCTTTGATACGGTGTTTTATTGTTGACAATTATTGTCCAACTCCAACACATTTGTGACTGAAATTAACAGAAATTATCAAAGATCAGCAATAAACACAAAATTCTTGCAATAACCAAAATAAAACAAACAACAATAAAAAAAATTGTCGTATAGAAATATATAAAATAAGGAGATTTGGTATGATTGCCAAACGACAAATATCCAACAGAGAGAAAAAAAAAACTTTGTAAACAAATAAAGATCACAGTATGGCGTTCAACAATGACACCCATACCGTTATATAGTAATCTATGAAAGACATTGGCTTGACGAAATATGAAACAAATCAAATGAGAAAATTAATGGCCTGATTTATATTAAAAAAAAAAACAACACACAAATGGTAGTCACCTTCGAATTACAGGTTCTTGACTTTGGTAAGGGACATAACAAACTGTGCGGGGTTAAAATGTTTGTGATCGCTCAACCTCCTTCTGACCAGGCACCATGGCGTTACAGAACAACATAACAACGCACTAACAATCCTTTGTGAAGGGATTGACTCATCAAATCGGCACAAAAATCAGGCCGTTAGTTTTCTCGTTTGAATAGTTTTACATTTGTCATTTCGGGGCATTTTATAGCTAACTATGCGTAATGGGCTTTGCTCATTGTTGAAGGCCGTACTGTGACCTATAGTTGTTAATCTCTGTGTCATTTGGTCTCTTGTGGAGAGTTGTCTCATTGGCAATCATACCACATCTTTCTAATTTTTTTATTATAAAAAGCACACAAAATTCACAAAAGTAGTAAAAACACAAAGTACCGATCAAAGAGTTCTCGTATTTTAACCCCACCACCACCACAAAAAAAAAAAAATAAAAAAAAAAATAAAATACAATAAAACATTTCGTACAGTATATTATAATCACTAAAATATGACAGCAGATATATACAGCGTAGTTGTCTTAAGATCTTAAATACACTCAGTCTAAGAGAATTTATCAAACTTCCAAGACTTTATTGATAAGATTATGTAAATTCATTAAAATTATATACTGAATGTAAACTCAACAGTGCTCCGGTCCTTGCAATAGTTCAATCTATTTTGCAAGTTGCTGCATTTGAAATTTGCAATGGAAACCAAAGGACCATATGTTCATTCTTGACGCTTCCAGCATTCCCACACGCCATGGTTTAACAATCATTCGATGTACTGTACTGATCAGATTAATTGTGGGTGGCCTTGGTTCATCTTCTGTTTTCATTAATTTGTAGTTTACATTTGCTTTGAAATTCAATTTAACTGTATTGTGAATCTTTATTATAATTTACACTGCACACGACACGCAAGTAGAAAAACAATATTTTTAGCAGAAATTTGAAATAACTATATTATAATTAAAGAAACGAAATCTATCGACAAAAGTTTACACACCACTCTTAGACAGATATTCTGTCAGGAAACTGTCAAATAGTTTGCAGAAATAATTAAATGTTTCCAATGCTCATAAAAAAACATGCGAGGATAACAAAATAGTCAAAACAAGAATGGGTCCATAGTACACGGATGCCCCACTCGCACTATCATTTTCTGTGTTCAGTGGACCGTGAAATTGAGGTCAAAACTCTAATTTAGCATTACGATTAGAAAGATCATATATCATAGGAAACATGTGTACTAAGTTTCAAGTTGATTGGACTTCAACTTCATCAAAAACTACCTTGACCAAAAACTTTAACCCGAAGCGGGACAGACGGACGAACGGACTGACGGACGGACAGACGGACAAACGAACGGACGCACAGACCGAAAAACATAATGCCCCTCTACTATCGTAGGTGGGGCATAAAAATATAACTGAATAGAAAAATTAATGAAAAAAAAATCCTGTACACATTATATATAAATATGTGACCTACAACTGGTCAACACAAATTCTTTGATAGTATTAAAAATTAAATTGTATTTCAATTCGTCTTGATAAAAATGCATATCCTCATTAAGTACTGTCATGCATTGCACACAATTTATTTAACACATAAATGAGGGTCTGGATGGGGTACTTTATTTCTTTATTCTTTAATCTTTTAATCAATTTTTTTCTATTCTTTATGTATTTTGCCTATTATTCTCTATTCGGTATATTTTATCACACTATTATTCTCTATTCTTTTTTTTGGGTCTATGTTTTGTCTATTTTCTAATTTTTAGCCCTTTATTCTGTTCTTTTTGTCCAGTATTCTCTATTCTTTAAACCCCATCCGGATCCTTGTGAATAGGAGCAACTTGGCATATTTCGTTTACTCGTCGACGTAAAAATTAAAATTATTGAAAATCTCCAGTTTTCTTTTTTTTTTTATATTCTGTATTTGCGACAGTAAAATCAACGATTAAAATTTGTACCTTATGATATATAAAAATAAAATAAAGTCATACTTCAACTGTAGGACGAGTTGTTTTTAGATGTGCATAAAAAAAAAGCAGCCAAATTTAACAATTGCATTTATCAGGCTACAGGTTCAAAGTAGACGATTTCCTTTTCTTCTGGAGGTTCTCTTGGATTCGGCAATGGTTTGGCTAATTGGTATGGAGATATTAGTGACGATTTTGTATTCGATCTGTATGTTTTCTTAAGTCCTTTGCTTTCTATGAAATGTTCAGATGCCAAGTTGCTGCACCTGTTTGTATTAACAAGAGGAGATGCAAACTCATAATGAACTGGAAGACCATGACGCTCATTGGATTCAATAAGTAATGACTGAGTATTAGCTGCTGGCCTTCCGACAGGATTTGGTACGTCATATTCGTCTTCAGTGGTAGCTACTGTCTGTCGTCGAATCTTTTTGATAGATTTTGGAATTTTTAGTAATTTTGACTTAATACCCTTTCTTGTAATTTTTCTTAGGAAATGACTTCCTCTTCTTTTTGCCTTTTCATTTTCTGACATTGGTAGTTGAGGTGTAGCATAAATATTGTTGTCCGTATCTTCGCCTGTAACACTGTTGTGCAGAATAATGTCGGGAGGATTTTCAGTCTTCCGTAAAGATGTTTCTATCTCACGTGAACGGATTGTATCTGCAATACTCAACCCCCTGCCGCCTGTCATTATAAACCCCCCTATTCCAACTGGCAAACTTGGACGATATTTATAGTTAACCCATGGTTCAGTTTTTCGTTGTTCTTTCTCTTGTGTTGGTTGATCATATACATACTGTTTATGATTGATCATAGTCTCTTCGTATGCCTCGGTTTGTGATTTTTCTTTACGACGGAAAATTGACGAACGAAATCCTAATGAAAACCTCTTCTTCGGACTGGGTTTCAGTTTAGAGTTTTCTTTTCTGTTATCAGACGATTTACCCCAAGGGTCTTCATATTTTACAGTTTTGTCGTCGTCGCTTTCTTGCACGTTCTGTTCCTTTGTTTTGTCAATACAAAAGTTCAGTTCTTGATAACCTGACACACAAGCTTGCCTAGCTGTAGGAAGGTTAGTCTTTGAATATATTCCTGCTTCATCATAAATGTGTTGATTTATATGTAACGTCGACAGATTTTGTTTGTGGAATACGGCTTTTTGATTTGATGGATCTAGATATACAGGTCGATTTTCTTTGAACGCATCTGTATCATCGCTTGAGTGTTCTGCCTTTACATTTTGTCTATTTGATAACTGTTCATTCCTGTTTAGAGAACCATTCCTATTAAACATAGAATATAAAACATAAGAAGATATGGTATGATTGCCAATGAGACAACTCTCCACCAGAGACCAAATGACGTATAATTAAGCAACTTTAGGTCAACGTTCGATCTTCAACTATGAGCAAAAACCCATACGACACAGCAAGCTATAAACGGCCTATTTTAACTTATTTAATATGAAATCGAAGAACATTTAGAAGTAAGGTTTGATAGAAGGGGCCAAGTTTGTGATCAAAAGTAAGCCCAGAAGAGCATAGTATCCATGTATGTTACTCGGTGATACATGTAAATTTGTACAGAAGATAGAAAAGGGAATACTTTTGTGTTTTAACCTCCTTGATTTCATGGCAAATTTGTGTTTAAGTAGTTTACATGGACTGTTTTAGTTTCAATTCAACACTGTGTCTTGCATTTTCGTGAATATGATTTCTAACAATTTATGCAAATGTATATGTTTTACGTGTCAAATGGCATGTTATTCTTATTATGAGCTCCACTGATACATGTGTACATGTAGTGATGTAAGTTGCCTTAAGAATGTGTCAATCGTTTTATTTTGTGTCCTCTGACTCCAAGAAAGAACTTTTAATGACTCTACCATATACAAAATCTTTTCGGATGCAAATACTACAGACATGAAAGTAATTTTATCTAATTTTGCAATTGCTTGATATGATGTTCACTATTGGTCCGGGGACACAGTTATCGTCCGTTGATTTTTGTTAACTAGAGTCCCTAGTGTGGACAGTGTCTAACTTGCATTTTTTTTTTTTCATACACCTTCCAAATTTATTTATTCATATTATTGTATAAACTAGCAAGTAGAGGGATAAATTACATGTAAAAAAAAATGGGCATGATTTTTTTTAGATACAGTGGTGATTTGGTAAAGTTTGAAAAGGTCAAACATTAGAAGGTCTGAAGCTGTCAAACTGAATTATAGACCCCAGTAACATAAAATTTACCCTATTTTGAGTTAAGGCGATTAACTTTTTTATTGTTTTGGTAGAATTTGTTCCAAAAGTAGTACAATACACTGTAAAAATCTGTTTTAGATAGAGCAGGTACGATTTTTTTTCAATTTACGTTTCGTTGTCTAAAAGAAATGCACTTCGAAAAAACTTTGTTCTTTGGCCTATTAATGTAAATCTTTGCAAACGTGGAATAAACCTTTTTTTTATTGACATGTAAACAGTAATGGTTTTTTTGCGACATAAATCCATTTAACAATAAATTGGTAATCAGTTTTAAATTGTATAAGAAAAAATGGGATATCAGTTTCACGTACAAAAATGATAATCTTATGCTAACACCAAGAACAATCGGATTTTAGATTGCAATTAAATTTTTTCTTAAACTTATGACGTGTTCATAAAAAAATATATATTCATATATAGATATAATAAGATGTGGTATGAGTGCCAATGAGACAACTCTCCATCCAAGTCACAATGTGTAAAAGTAAACCATTATAGGTCAATGTACGGCCTTCAACACGGAGCCTTGGCTCACACCGAACAGCAAGCTATAACGGGCTCCAAAAATGACTAGTGTAAAACAATTCAAACAGGAAAACCAACGGTCTAATCTATATAAAAAAACGAGAAACGAGAAACACTTATGAACCACATCAACAAACGACAACCACTGAACATTTATAAGCAAAATGAAAAAGACCGGAGGTTGTGTTTGAAAGAAAATGGTTTGGAAAATATAACTAAACTGAACAGGATACTAATCAGTTAAAAAAATGATTACTTGCCATTTTTCTCTGATCTTGAACAAACACACCAATAATACCAAAATGGAAACGCAGGAAGAAAAAATACCTAGTACTGTAAAAAAATAATAAACAATGCTGTTTAGGTATATTTTTAAATGTTAAAGCCATTTGTGAAACAGTATCTTCTTACCCGTCCGAATAACCCAAGAAAAACCCCGGTTTTTGGTTGGGTCTTTAGTTTTCTATGTAATGGTTTGTGGACATGCCTTTTCGTCATTTGTTGCGTTTTCTTTCCGATGTCAGTTTCTCTTCGACTTAAGAGTTTTAAATTTCCCCATCTGCGGCCTTTTTATTTTTTATCATCCCCAAGATTATCGCGGTATTTTTATATATTTTTTTGTTTTATTAATGTATGGGTTTTTTGTTGATGTCCTTTTTTTGCAATTGTTAGACTTTTCAGTCCTTTTGTTGTTTTTTTTAATTCATTCGTTTCGTCTTGTTTTTTTTTCCATAGATACTTTTGAAGAATACATGTCTATTTGTTTGTTTAGTTATTTTATTTGTTGTGTGTTTATGTTAAAAAAATATACTGACCCACACAAAATATACCACATTTTATGTCATCAGGGTGATCTTCACTTTTCATTGATTTCGATATAGTACCAGATTGTGTGACTCCTTCTTCCTTTGCAAAGAACGTTGATATTTTTGTGGGAAGATTTGCAGATGTTCCTACAGATGTAGTTCTCTCTGTTGTCATAGTGTCCTGTTCAAAAGTTCTTGCAGGTGTGATTGTAGTCTCTTGTTTGGAAATATCTTGTGTTGATTTAACCGGATATGATCTTGTAGCAGTCGACGTGTAAATAATCGTCTCCTCTAAAAAAATGTGCACAATATAAAATCATATTAATATTATTCATTACTAATATTTACAACTATTATAACATCTTACAATATCCATCTATGTTTGGAATAGTTATCAAAGGTACCAGGATTATAATTTAATACGCCAGACGCGCGTTTCGTCTACATAAGACTCATCAGTGACGCTCAGATCAAAATAGTTATAAAGCCAAACAAGTACAAAGTTGAAGATCATAGAGGACCCAAAAAGTTGTGTCAAATACGGCTAAGGTAATCTATTCCTGGGATAAAAAAATCCTTAGTTTTCAAAAAATTAAAAGTTTTGTAACAGGAAATTCATAAAAATGACCATATAATTGATATTCATGTCAACACCGAAGTGCTGACTACTGGGCTGGTGATACCCTCGGGGACGAAACGTCCACCAGCAGTGTCATCGACCCAGTGGTGTAAATAGTTATCAAAGGTACCAGGATTATAATCTAATACGCCAGACGCGCGTTTCGTCTACATAAGACATGGAACCTTCTTCCACAAATTCGTTTAAGGTAAGTTGTAGTTTTCCTAGTCTAGATCAGTTTACGCACAATCCTAGTGGTATTAAACAAAAGATATTTGAGATCATATTTGAGTTATTTGATATGTATATGTTCTTACGATGACTTTTCGTTTTATTAAATTTGTTTCATATGGTAACTCTGTAAATTTGGGAAGACCAGACGACCTTGGTGTAAATGGTCTAGGCGCACGCCCGATATTTCACAAGAGCAACACTGAAATGTCATCCCGAATAATTACTTTTGTAATACTACAATTTACTTTTTGAATGATACGAATAAAAGAAATGATGGTCAAACACCAATAACCCTCTTCATACAATTCTACCAATCTCTGAAATAAACAGTCTTTATTAAATGTCAAACATTTAAAGGACTGAAACATATTTTTTTGTTTTATCAAATTATCCTATCAACTATAACAGAGAATGGCAAACAACAACAACAACAACAACAATGGTTTCTGGTGTCATTTTTAAAAGATAAAAAGATGGTAAATAGATGTACCTACCATGACGGTCAATAAGTTGCCTAAATGTTCCAACCCAATAATATATGTTGTCTTCTGTCTTCTGAGGTAGATTTTCGCTAAAGTTCATCATTTTTTTCTGTAAGTTTTCACAATAGAGTTTTGCTTGTTTGAATGTCAATTTCTGTTCAACAGGTTTATCTTAAATAACATACAGTATAATATGTTATTTTGATGACTATAGTATGTTTTGGATGTTTTTTTTAAATCATTTTCAAACAAAGAGAGGACTTTTTTGACTTTGCGGAATACATTTCCAGTGTAAAGAGATTGATCGCCTCGATATAGCTTTTCTGTGCTAAGGTGGTGGTAAGCAAACAACAATAAATCAATCAACGACAAAATTTGATTGACTGATACTTAAATAATGAGCGATTTGATTAAAACGATATGGAAGGAAATTGTAAAAATTGTGATCTTTAGAAGCAAACTATTATAATTTTGAATGTTGATTGATATGATGTTCACAGTATACTCATGTAAATTAAGGCTATGATATTTGGTTTTTTCTTGTAAATGGAACTTATTCCAAATGTTCAATTATAATAATTTTCACTATTGCAAAAAAAAATATTTTTAAAGGCGATTTTTGCAACAGTACATGTTTTCAATAAAAAAATTAAAAAAAAATAAAAGATGAAACCACAATTGCAAATTATTACATCCATGCATTGGGAATTCTATCAATTAATACTAACGATGTCCACTGCATATAAACGGAACAGCCTGGTCACATGACATTTGTTTTATTTCCTTATGCGTTTTGTTTTTACTGACAGTTAGACAGTCGAAGTCCTTATCGATGACATCGAGAGGTAAATCTGCAAAATACAATATCATGATCATATAATAATTTCCTGTAGTACATACATTGCACGTTTTATATATAATATATCATTTATTTACAGTACTTAAGAACATCAGACAGACTGGGACAGCGGGATTATTCTTATATAATATTTATATTTTATGAAGCACCTTTTATTGACACAGATCGTTCCGGAATAAAAGTATGGTAAAATCATTAAAAATGTGAGAGGTGACAGAAATGTAGAAAAAGTATTCGACTGAATCCTCATATTCTTTATATAACTCAATTGTACAGTCATGCAAAACTGTTTTGAGATGTTTCTGTGACTGAAACATATACACATGAACCGGAGAATACAATTGTTATTCAAGCTAAGTAAAATTAAACTTTGCTGTGTTTAACCTTGTTTTTAACGTTTTATAAACAGACATGTATGATTTAATAATTAGTGTATATTACTTCCGGACAAATAGCAATTAATTTCGGTTTGTGGGAGATGACCGCCATAAACTTAAAAAAAAACATATACAACACAGTTGATTTCCTAGTGCAAATTATCTATTTCAAAAGGACCTTTTCGCCAAAAGCTTGGAAAGCCGAAATAAGCAAGAAGGATCTATGTGGAAAAAGCATAAACGTTAAAATGGACTTTATCTGAGGAATTTCAACCTTATTTTAAGACCAATTGTTTTTTTTCAAAAGCCAATACATAAGAACTTAAAATTTTAAAGTAGTTTTCAATAAAACTCAAGACCATGAGTATAGTAAAGTTTCACGATCATGGTTTTTTTTTCCAAATGATAAAAAAGTTTGCTATTACTGCCATCTATAATGTTCACCGTGCAATATGATTGACGCCATATTTGATGTAGCAATATCAGAAGAAAATAAGGACGTATAAATATGTACTTGAGGCATGATAATTCTTCTTTATTTACCTTCATCATGCCTATATAGATTGGCATACTTCATATCTATGGAACCACAGTACATTTTGTCTGAATAGTTGGGACACTTTCTGTAACATCTGTTCGACACACCACCTTTCGTGAATTTCTTAAATGTTGCTTCTTTGAAACAGAAACAATTGAAATCCTAAAAACGGATAGACACTGTATATTATTATCATGTAAAATAGTGAAGTTTGGTTTTCAATCTAAAGGAGGGAAGAGTGTACCTATATATGTTTTTGAAATGCCTTATGTACAATGCATTTATACAAAGGATGACGTTGTTATCGTAAGAGCAAATATCAACAGTTTTATAGTTCGCAAAAAACACAATTTGTCTCGATGGCAATCGTATCACATATTTCTACTATTTTCATATTTATTATGATATAATGATTTGTACACCATAATTGATACAATTAATAAGCACGCTTTTGTAGACGAAACGCGCGTCTGGCGCAAATATATAAAATTTCAATTCTGGTATCTATGATGAGTTTATTTGCAAACCTTAAACTTTGTAAAAGCTAGTCTAGAGCTCTTCTTTACAGAAAGTGAATATTGAGTATACAATCCATATAACTAAAAACTTGAAAATCAATGTTCCAGCAATTTTGTTTGATGATAATCAGAACAAAATTAAAAATGGAATACTTGCAAGTAGAGCGAAGAAATTCCAGTTTTCACACTGTCTAGAACATGTTTTAGGTTGGTTGTTGGTTATGTTTGTCAATTTGACACTTGTCGAATCTCCCAATCCAGTAACACTGAAACAACCTAAGATGATAATTTGAAAATAAAAGTATGTATTAGATGTAAGCTTCTCGTATCTGAGGGCATTAGAAAAATCTGAAACGTATCGCCCAAACAACAGATGAAGAAATTGAAGATAAACGATTGACAATAAATGCAAAAAACCACATTAAAGGCTAAAATTAATTTTAATGTTGGTACTTCCTTTTGTACAGACCAATGATAATAGGTTTTTAATATTGAAGACTTGATTGCTTTAATAGGCCACTAGTCTAATATCAACATGTTAAGATATAGTCTGTAAAATAAATTCGTTACAGAGTGTGCTAGTGACCCAATACGATATATACGGGGTCAGTAAATTTCATACGGAGTGTTCGCTCTCACCCCATATGAAATTTACTGACACTGTATCTATACTACTAAAATAACGAGGTCCAATCTGTATGCCGACGTAAAAACGACGAATCAAAGAATTCATTATATGGGACAATGGTGTTGATTAAAAATTACACAATTCCAGACCCTTTTGTTTTCCACATAATTAATAATACTGGTCTAATCCGACACCGATACCAAAAGTATATGTCACATGTAGTTTCCGGTTGTAGTAAGAAAACCAGGACGGGTTCAAACAGAAAGATTTTGAAAGCAGAGAAAACTGTGCACCTGATAAACAGTATGACTGTATCAGATAACAATACGAATACTAAAAATCCAGGCTTAAAATAAGGCGTAGATACTTTCCAATTTGTTAGCCAGCATGACGAAAACCCGTCGAATCAAAGAATTCCACTTGATATATAACTAATATAGGACAATGGTGTTGATTAAAAATTATACCATTCCAGGTCCTTTTGTTTTACACATAATTGATATTGCCAATGATTTACAAGTTCCGAGTCGAATCTGATACCGATACCAATAGTATATGTCACATGTAGGTTCCGGTTGTAGTGAGAACACCAGGACGGGTTCAAACAAAAAGATTTTAAAAACAGAGAAAACTGTGCACCTTATAATCAGCATGGCTTTATCCGATGACAATACGAATACTAAAATTCCAGGCTAAAAATAAAGCGTAGGTATTTTAATTCAGTCACAGACCCGCGATGTCGCGGGTGTGTTCTAGTATATCGTATTAGGGCATTAGTGCACTGTGTAACTAATAATTTGTCAGGTTATTTGATACTAATGAAATCATAGTTCTCTTCTACGTGGATCTGTATCATTTGGTGCATTTTGTGCGTTATTATATGATAAAACTTTTTCTTTTGAGGGAGTTGTTGGGTATCTGTCAACATTTATCAGTCAGAAAATCCCAACGACAATATTTTCAAAATACATAAATATGGGACTAAACCACTCAGCAGTTAGCCGACGTTCGAAACTCGTTAGTCCCTTTGGAATATATTTACCTATCACTGAACAAAATAATATAGTGAATGTATTAAATAATAAGGAATTAAAAATAAGATATTCACGTTAAACTATCATGTGTAAAGAAATATAAAAGATATAAATAACTATATTGTATACATGTACATTTTATTTCTCTGGTCTGGTGACAGGAAATATTTTTATCATAATTACCTAAATGAGTCATCCATTTTGTTTTCAAATGTTGCAAATCCTGTGAATTTATTTGTTGAAGTTTTGCTAAAGCTGGAACAAAAAAGAAACATATGAACTCCGTAATCTGAGAGTAATACATTTAAGAAGACTATTGGTGTCAGGACCATGATCGGCTACATTTTTGAAAGTTTGTCAAAAAACTTATTGTTTACGTTCGAAGCACACTGCATGCTAGAATTCACTTTTGAGGAATGCTCTAAACCAAAATATGAGAAGGTACAATGACAATCAATAGATAATAAAATACAAACTCAATAAACAATCATAAACTTCAAATACAAATAAACACCAAATAGATTGTTAAATATTGTATTTAATATAATCTCGAACATCGCTTGTGATGACAAATAACGAACCAGAAAAGATAAAGAAAATATGCGCAAAAGACATTACATCACGAACATACAATTGTTTAAGGTCGTAGCTTAAATTGTGTTGCTAAATTCAAGATGCATTGCATGTTCTTCTAATAGCTTTTATTAATTAGGAACTGCATATATTTGTAAACCCAGCCTACGATAATAGAGGGACTCGATTTCTTCTGATCTGTGTGTCTGTCCCGCCGTCCCGTATCACGTTATAGATTTTAGTCCGGGTTGTTTTTAATGAAGTGTTATGATTACGCTCAGAAGGCACCAAAGAAAAAGCAGGCAATTAACCCTTGTATTGTAATATTTGACCATGAAAACATTGCTTGTTTAAGGCATCATATGTCGGTTATTACTAGCATCGAATAGATGGAAAGAAAGAATATACACCAATAAATAATAACTGTTTTGAATTCGAAAGTATAATAGCTCATCCGCTGCTCGCTGCTCTCGACAGTAATTTGATAAAACAAACTGTAAAATGAAATTGGTACGTGCTTTTCTCTAAAATAACAATTATTATATCAAATGATAATTTATCATTTTCAATCTATCTATTGTTTTTCGCTAGGCTTCAAGTTATTCACACAGCACATTACTTACGAGTAAAAATGAACCTTTGCTTTTGAAAGTGAAATCATTTAAACAATATAATGCTTACCAAACGTGATGTAGAAAATGAACATACATGTTAAAGTTGCTGTTTTAGCCATTGTTTATAAACTAGTACTTAAACGACTTTCCTATCATAATATGTTGAACTTTACAAGGAAATAATTCATTCTCTCATAGACATCAAAAACTTGTATCATACATTTATATCAGTATCACATTATTTCCGTTAATGTTTTCCGAAAATCAACAATATCAAGGAGAAAAATATTATTTTAAAATACTCTCACAAAAGTATTATTTGGCGAACAAATAATTTAATGGAGAAACTATACGTTCAAAATATCGTTGACTGCTATTTGCCATAATCATTTTTGTTATTGTTGTAAGCACAAATCTATTGTTTTTTTTCTTTAAATTGTGTCACTTTTTGTTAAATCGGGGCCTTTGAAGCTTACTTTACGGTATGGAATTTGCTCATTAATGAAGTACTGTGATTAAGACCTAGTAGTCCTTTGTTAATTTATGTATCATTGTCATTTTGCTTAGTTTCTTTTATTACCTATTCTGACATCGGACTCGCGCATCTTTTAAACTGAGTTTTACTGTGCGTATTGCTATGTGTTTTTTTATCATACATTGGCTAGAGGTATAGGGGGAGGGTTGAGATCTCACAAAACATGTTTAACCCCGCCGCATTTTTGCGCCTGTCCCAAGTCAGGAGCCTCTGGCCTTTGTTAGTCTAGTATGTTTTTTAATTTTAGTTCATTATATGTTTTGGAGTTAAGTGTGACGTCCATTTACACTGAACTAGCACTCACTTTTATTTAGGGGTCAGCTGAGGACCACCTCCGGTTGCGGGATTTTCTCGCTGCATTGAAGATCCATTGGTGGCCTTCGGTTGATTTCTGCTCTTTGGTCTAGTTGTTGTCTCTTTGACATATTCCCCATTTCCATTCTCAATTTTATCTGTATTTGTTTACATCTCTTGTAGATATTTGTCTCTTTATCTTATGTTCATATGTACCTATACAGAACCAAAGGAAAAAGAAGAGATATAATAAACTTCTGCCATGAATTCTTGACATTTACAATTAAATCAAATGAGAACAGTATCTTTTCGATAAACATGTAATATGTTTACACAATAAGATCCATATAAATTGTGTGTAATTTTCAATTTTATCTTAAACATGACGTACTTGTATGTACAAAGCTATGGACGTTTGCATTAAGAACCTACTTGATTAATTTGAGTTTTTTTATGGTTTTTATATCATACTTGACACTTTTTTACTTACATTGTAATGACAACTCATAATAAGTTTTCCTCCTATATACCTTAATATAAAATTTTCAGAGACAAGTACCTGTGTAAATTATCTATCATGTATTGCTTTATATAAAATTTCGAAAATTGTAGGAAATGGGAATTTTAAAATGTCCCCAGATGAAGGTTAACTAGGAAAAGTGCTCTTAGTGTATCAATGCACTGAATCTAAAACTTGTTATCTCTTTTATAGTCGAGATTATTATCTGAGGTAGAAACGTATTTAACAAATGGGAATTTTACCGGACTGTCAAAATACCTCGACTAATCAAAGTTTTCGACACAACTGAGTTCGAGGCAACGATATTCGAATGTACTAGCACCGAGTCGATACAATTACTGGTAAGATGTTACATGTCTTCTCCGAGGTTATTATTAGCCACGGCTTTCACATGATTACAAAAGATCGTAAATAAATAAATATTCCGTTGATAAGTTACGAAATTTTTAAAATAGAACTAAGCTTTCAACTCTTCAGGCGCAGATGACCTCAGATGATTTTGGATATTTTTGTATGTCCTTTTTTGTAAATACAGTATTAATATATCCATTACCTTCAAATTTTCGGGTTTGAATGGTCCATATTTAAAACCCGAAGCTTGTAGTTACTGTACATTAGAAGTTCTATATCGATAATGTGCAATAGGAATTTTAGCGGGTTACTGGAAGCAAGACTTTTACTGCATAACATTCAAACTTTTATTATTGTTGTGAAAAAATCAACAGCAGTCACTCATAATAACAAAAACCGAACAGCAAGCTATAAAGGGCCCCTAAATGACTAGTGTAAAACAATTCAAACAGGAAAACCAACGGACTCATCTTATAAAAAAACGAGAAACGAGAAACACTTATGAACCACATCAATAAACGACAACTACTGTTCAACAGGCTCCTGACTTAGGACTGGTGCATAAAAATGCAGCGGGTTTATGACAGAATTTAGTAAAGATTTTTAGTAATCCTGGAAACGAACTCTTTGACTTAATAATTTAACAGTTGAACATAGAGAACGTGTATTGATAGGCATTGATAGCTTAATGCAAACAACGGGAAATATTTAAATTTGAAGTTTCCTATTCTCATTAGTGTGATACTATGTATCAATATAAATAACACTTTATATAGAAATTATATGTTATATGACAAGTTTGATGTAAAATCAAGGGAAAATGTAATTGTTTCATCAATTCGTGTGAAATAATGAAAAGGAAGGCATTACAATTATTTTGTATAGTTACCACAGGCATATGTAAACAAAACTTGTTTTAGTATAAATTAGGCTTCTGGGTTTCATTTTGAAATGTCTCGCAATTTGTTCCCCGGGACCTTCGTAATACAATACGATATGAGTTTTATTAATTTGTTCAATTCAGTTTGTTCAAAATGTCATCCTTGCCCGTTGGTCGTTTGTGGGTAGTTGTCTTATTGACCAAAAATCACTCGGATTCAAACAAAAAAATTTCTGAAACAGACATTATCAAGATACTTAATTTCATAATTGACAACATGTTTGTCACGTTTGGAGGACGTGTTTTTCAACAAACAATCGGCATTCCCATAGGAACCACATGTGCCCTTTTTGCCGACTTGTTCCTTTATTCAAATTAGGCTGACTTCATACAGGAACTTCTTAAGAAGAAAGAAAAGAAGTTAGCAGTATCCTTAAACTTTACTGTCCGCTATATAGATGATGTTCTCTCACTAACATAAATTTGGTGACTATGTTGAACGCATCTATCCCATCGAACTTGAGATTAAGAATACAACATATACAGTTGAGTCTGCCTCATATCTTGGCTTACATCTAGAAATTGACAGTGATCAGGGTCGGTTGAAAACAAAACATTACGACAAAAGAGATGATTTCAGCTTCCTAATAGTGAACTTTCCATTTCAATGTAGCAACATTCCAGCAGCGCCTACATACGGAGTATATATCTCCCAGTTGATACGATATCCAAGGGCTTGTATTTCCTATCATGATTTCCTTGATAGAGGGTTGCTGCTCACAAGAAAGCTATTAAACGAAGAGTTCCAAGTGGTGAAGTTGAAATCATCCCTTCGTAAATTTTACGGACGCCATCATGAGTTGGTTGACCGTTTGGAATTTTCGTTTCACAGCTGATAGAGGATATGTTCCAAATGTCATAACTACTATCCCGTCCCCTTTCCCCCGAATTTGACTTACCGAATAAGACTTATTACCGGGTTTGTACTAACATGAGCATCACAACGGATGGCATATGTGGAGCAGGATCTCTTTACCCTTCCAGAGCACCTGAGATCACTCCAGTTTTTGGTGGGGTTCGTGTTGCTCAGTCTTTAGTTTTTCTTGTTGTGTTTTGTGTACTGTTGTTTGTCTGTTGGTCCATTTCTTTTTTATCCATGGCGTTGTCAGTTTATTTTAAAAATATGAGTTTGAATGTCCCTTTGGTATCTTTCGCCTCTCTTTTTCATATTTTTATAAAACACAACATCATCTTGTTTTATTCCAATAGTAATGACGTAAGTAATGTATGTATTCCATGTATACTTAACCAATGCCTAATTCGTCCTGTCAAGAAAGATGTATAGGGAATAGATAAAGACATCGGAACTATGTGAGAGTCCGGATTAGGTCAACAGTATGCAAAGAGCAAAAAATAAAGTACTGAGAAAAGAAGGGGGAAATAAAGACATGAGAAAAAAAGCCAAACAAATATAGAATAGAGAAAAAAAAAAGCAAAACAGATAGAGAATAAAGAATAATGTGGTTCTCAAAATAATAAATTGATAAAATTGGGTATTAATTAAAAAGATAAAGACTAGAGAATAATGGGCAAAAAAAATGACGGATAGAAAAACGTTGCATAACAAGACAGTTAAAAAGTACAGAAATGAAGACACCATCGTTATCAGCATATAAGTCTACCTCTAAGTTTCATTTATTTATCTATTTCAAAACCCAACAATTAATTTCATCGACCATAATATAAACAAAAGACCATTAACTTCAAATTAAAATTGTTAAGTCGAGATCATGACAAATTCATATATATTTTAAAAGAATATCGCATTCAACCCAATAAGATTGGGTGACGAATAGCAATCTTTTAATAAATAATATGAAAATAAAGAGTTGTGGTATGATTGCAAATGATACAACTATCCACAAGAAACTGAAGAGGAGGAAATAAACAGTTGTAAGTATTATAGGTGATTGTACGGCCTTCTACAATGAGCAACATTCGAACCGTATTGTAAACTAGAAAAGGCTCCAGCATGACAAATTTGTGAAGCAAATCAAGAGAAAACAAAGGGCCTGATTTATGATTTTATTTTAAACAAATTGTATGACTCATCAAATTAATGCTATATAATATAAGTAAGCATATGCAGTATTACGGTTTAAGGACAAATTGAAGAGGAGAAACATGCAGCGGGTTGTATTTGATTCTGGTTTGTTGAGCAACATATTATAAAAAATATAACATATACTAGTATACGAAATATGAATAAAAGTAGATGGAAAGTTAATGTCAATGAGACAACAACCCAACAATACAAAACACCCCAAACTTCTACATGTAGATATTAACATAGGTCTTCAGCAATAATAAGTTGTACGTACCATTATCGAAGCACTAAATTACCATTTGTGTATACATGTACATGTCTTTTAGAGATTATAACTCTTACCAAATGGATAAAAGTAAAGGAAAAAGTACCAACCTTTCCCAGACATCGACAACCTCTTTAATGGACTGTGTTATGCAAAACTCTGAAGGAAAACAAAGCGAGAAGGGCTTTATAGTCTCTCTAACAATTAAGAGAATTGAAGACCCTGTGATCCATATCAGCATCTAAGTCTACCTCTATGTGTTTCATTGATTTATACATTTTAAATCCTAGTAATTCATTTCATCGACCATAATATAAACAAAAGACTATTAATTGTTACATTGGTAAGTCCAAGTCGGGAATATAGCAGATTTTTTCTCACTTGTTCCGTTGATTGGAAGAGTTTGATATTGTCAGTTTTTATGAACTTCCACTTGAATTGCCTAGGAGTTCGGATTGCAAATGAGACAACTATCAACTAGAGACTAAAGGGGTGGATGTAAACAACTATAGATTTCCTTACGGCCTCCAACAGCGAGCAAAACACCTACCCTGTAGTAAGCTATAAATGTCCCCAATATGACAAATTGTGAAACAAATCAAAAGAGAAAACCAACGGCCTGATTAATGATGTAAAAGATTTTAAACAGATGGTATGCCTGATTTATGCTTATAACAATAATAAAAAAAAAAAAAAAAAAATGACAGACACCAACCAACGACAACCCTGTGATTACCAAATTATAATGCAATATTATGAAAGAATGCATATACATACGGCTTAAGGACAGAAATGAACTGGAGAAAATTGCTACTGCATGTATTTTAATCAAGTTTCTTGAGTAACCTGTAATACAAAATGTATCAAATAAGAGAGAGAGAGAGAGAGAGAGAGAGAGAGAGAGAGAGAGAGAGAGAGAGAGAGAGAGGAGGAAGATTGCAAAAGGATATTCAATCCCATAAATCAAAAGCGGACTGACAGCACCATGTCAAAAAATGAAAAACTGCATAAGACAAACAACAGTCCACAAAACAAAAACGTAGAAAACTAAATACTGAACAAAAATCAAAACTAATCCCACCAAAAACAGTAAATGAACTCAAATGCTCCGGAGCGGTAAGCAGTTCATGCTCAACATGTGGCACCCGTTATGTTTCTCATGCAAGTACATACTTGGTTATCGCTTTCAAGGAAAAGAGGACGGAGTTCAGATCATGACAATTGGTACATAGCCGTCGTCATATAGGTGTTCGATAAAATATCAAATCTAGACCAAAATAATTCTTTAAATAAACAGACGAATCAAGTTGCTACCTGAAATTTACATTTCGTTTTATGTAATGACTTTTTATGTGTCCTTTTTGAATGAGTTTAAAAGAGAGGCGACAGATACCAAACGAATATTCAAACTAATATATCAAAAACAAACTGACAATGCATGGCAAAAAAACAAACAACGATCAAAAGACAAATAACAGTATACACAATTCAACAAAAAAACATAAAGTCTGATCAAAACAAACCCCACCAAAAAGCAGGAGGGATCTCCAGTGCTCCGGAAGGGCAAACAGATTATGTTCAACATGTGTCACCCGTCGTGTTGCCCCTGTTGAGTACAAACTCGGTGATAAGCCTAATTCGATAGGTCATATTCGAGGAGAAGGTACGGGTGTGTGGTTACGACAAGCGGAACATGTTCGTCGTCATATATGCGTTTATAATAGATTATGAAATATGAATAAAAGCATATGCTGAGTTAATATCATTGCGACAGCAACTCAACAAACCAAAACAGATCCAAAACTTCTACATTAAGATATTAACATAGGTCTTCAGCAGAAAATTGTCAGTACTAATAACCAAGCATTAATCAATACATTCCAATAGACGAAGAGTGCCTTGAAAAGCTTTAAAACACACACACAACCCTCAAAATAGGGTAAAAACACAAAGTTCACTATCTACAACATGACCTTGACATTGATTTATGACCATTGTCAAGGCCATTGGTTTTCGATGTCATTGCAAAGACCACAAGGGTCTAGGACCTTTGGTTTCATAGTTATAGCTAATAATGTCTTTTCGCACACCATGAAAGGGAGTTATGCCGCTAAAGGAAAGCTAAGGTCTCTTCGGTCAAACATAATACAGGTGTCCTATCTATGAGTTTTACTGTCCATATCCAACTATCGCGGTCATCACGTGACTTTTACAATTCAGTTGTATATCATTAATGGCCGATTGATTATCAATGAAAATGAACGGGCTACATAGATTAAACGATCATAACTTTTTTGTTACATTGTGTATTTTACCTTCCAACCCCGCGTTTTATAGTATTTTCATTTTTACAGTTAAAAATGTTTTAAGTTTCAGTTCAGAAATATGATTTCTTGCTTCAAATTAAGTTTGAAAATGGAGGTGACATAACCACACAGCCTCCGTTGACTTCTTCGTTAAAACTCAATAAAATTGCAATGGGACCTTCTTATATGATCAGTTTTCTCAACTTATTATTTGTTAATAATATCCTTCCAACCTCTAAAAAGATCGACAACACATTCATTTAAATGAAATCGAAACCCAAATCAGTTCAGGTAACAAACTTTTTGCTTCAAAATTTGATTGAAAAGTTTACATTTTGGCATTCGTTAACAATATTTTGAAAATGGCGGCCGATGTCGGTAGTAAACAAAGACACGACATGTATTCATTTAGCAATTAATTAAAACGTAATTTGTGAAATATTTATTAAAGTGTGTCTTATTGTTTTTAGAAATTTCTTATTTCACCTTTAATTTAACATATTTATTAGAAACTGTCTCTCGCACTCAAAACAAAGATTTATATATGCATCAACCATGCATTGTTTACATTGACCATGTTGACAGCGTAGGTCGACTTGTGAAAATATATATTGTAATATTTTACGATGAAAATCAAAAAACTGTTGGATGCATGCGTTTTCAGTTTTTGTCTTACCTTAAAGCAGCATAGAATCAAATATTTTGTCTTTTTGATAAAGTGGATACATGCTTTTTGTTTTGATAAAATTTCGAAGTTACGTAAAAAAATGGCGACCAAACAATTTTCAAACGTAGACGATGTTCGACACTAATTTTGCCCATGTAAATAACACAATTTAATTTCACTGTTTATATTGCAATTAAATATGACACGTTATTGTCACTCTAATAATACCCAAGGACATAGCCTGATTAAGGAGATATTAAGTCATCAACGTGATCAAAGAAAACAAACACGGCACCTAATCACGATGTAAGATCATGTAAGTTTTGACAAGACTTATGTAGATTAGTATGGTCCGATTCTTATAGAAATTATTTTATATTAATAAAAAAAACCTCGAAACCCCGAGGTGAAATATCTATATTTTTCAATTTTCTAAATCATTCATCACACGGGTTACCAGTAAATTTTTCATAATCCTAATTGAACCAGTAACATGCAGAGTTATCGAACGTAATTATGACTGGTATAGTTGCATATGCCTCTGGTATCTTTCGTCCCTCTTTTAATGACACAAGCATTTCCCACTATTTAAAGGAGACCTGACACGATTTTTAAAATAAACAAAAATCAATTAATTTTAACTCAATTATACTATATAAACACATTTCAAACAAAATAATTGTAGAAAAACCCCAAATTAAACTAATTAAATGTTTTGTAATCACCGCGTCCCCTGACCTATAAATTTTAATTAGATAGACGATCACGTGACCCGATGACGTCACAGGCACTTTCTGGGTCAGACAGTGGTCAGCGGTTGAAGAGTTGTAAGACATTAAATGATAGGAAGTATGGACAGCTGTGACAGTGATATTCCCGATGTTTCTAGATTAGTAGATATACGTCCGTACCAATTCGAACCACTAGGCAACGAAATTAATTCCGGAGAAGACAGTATTTCCTCGTCAGAGACCTCGGACATCGCCGACTTGTCTCAGGCCGAAAACCGCCTGATGAACACCGACTGGTTCGTATTTACTTATTATTGTTCCTTTTTATATTATTTTTGTTTCAAACCAAAGTTGAAATTAAGTTATCTCTTTTTGTAAACAATTTGAAAGTGGCCCGAACCCATGTTTTATTGAACCGAAAGTCGTATACTTGTACGTGCGCCTCCCATCCGAAATCGTACATTTTTATGTTTAAAAAATCACACAGATTGCTTTTATTAGGTCAACTATTAATATAATGTAGATTGTAGAAATATACATGTAAAAGGGGAAATTCTAAATGCATCTGGTCATTATCTTTTTAACTTGTCCATTTGTTTCGTATACACGGCATCTAGTATCCTATCAATATTGAAGTAGTTTGGTAATACATGTACAGGCCTATATTTTGTTTTCGGCTGTTATAGGTGTGACTGTGGGAATTGTGAACCCATGACAACATCTGAAGAATGTACATGTTGTTCGAATGTATCAGCTGTAAGTTTCCACATGCAACCAGAAGACCTGCAGTGCATCACAGAACACGATGTGTGTGTTGCCATCTGCCTCAACAGACACGTTTTACAGGTTAGCATGTATGCTTACCTGGAAAATGTAGGACCTTTTGATGACAACGAGCCAATAAATGAGTAAATATTTTTTTCTTTGTTACTACATTTATGTTGAACTTGCATATTCATTTTCAGCCTTTGTGATAACTTGCATATTCAATAAAAACCTTCGTGATAACTTGCATATTGCACGTGTTGGTAGGCTGTTGTCTCATTTTAACTTTTCATTACGAGCTCCCATAACTTAAAATCGAACGATCTGTCATGATGTAGAAAAATGGAACCCCATGCATTGACTGAATCAACTCAAATCTCTTACATTGTTTTGAGATCACTTAGCCTCACGAACAGGACCTGGTAAATGTACTAAAAGTGACCATATGAATCTGATGAATGCCTTATGACATCAAAGTCCTTATGAACTCTGGTAGATGTTTGTCTCATTGGCAGTCATACCACATCTCTTTTTTATTTAGATGTCATTATGCATGAAAATCTGTAAATTATTCATTCACCCGACAGAAGCAAAGAACACAAATTCCATCAGAATATAGAAGTACAACTTTAACAGTCAATTAGAATACAGTATTAGTTTTGACAAATTTATTAACATGCATCATAATAACGGTTATATACAATTGATACAGTAATATTCTTATTTATGCAACAATTTTATATTTACAATGACAATAATATTCTTATTAATGCAACATTCATATATACAAATACAATAATATGTTTATTTATGAACAATTTCATATTTACAATTATCATGCTTGAAATAAAGTATACTACAATCGTAAGTTTTAACATGAAACTTTTATCTACAGGCGGTACTGCTTCATGGCATACAGACGTTTTGTTCAATGGATTTGGCATAGACTAGGACGACACAACAGAAAGATATTACCAGCATGTGTGGTGAAAAAAATAAGAGAAACTTTTTCATCGGAGACATATTGTGGTTTTAAGTATGCAGTTGTATCACAAATTCATTTATTTAACTATTGAAATTTTAAAATTTGAATAAGAATTGTTTTTTTCTTTCTTTTTTGTGGTTGAAAAGAGATGGGTCATTATTTAATGTCTTTGAAATCGTGATTTGTGTCTCTGAATAAGGTCGATCTTCCTGAACGGGGTGAATGTTGATGTCATGCGATCTGGATGGTGATTGTTGTAAACACGCACATCACCAGTAGCAGATGTATAAGATGTGTACTCTTCTCTTCGTCTCCCTACCACAGCCTGTTTGATAAGTGTCACGTAAACTGAAAAAAAATAGATAATGCTATGAATAAACAAATAAAAAAGAAGCCACAACTTATTTTTTTAATTGTCAAAGAAGTATTTATGATATACATGTATATCCAAATGATTGAATTCAATATCAAACTTAGTTACTTCCCTTATCCATTGCTTGGATTCATTGTCCTGGTTTAAATTTACATTTTAAATTTTCACATAGTGTATCACTGAAGATACTTTAAATGTACAAATAGACATCTGGTGCAGTAAAATTACCATTAATGTTATTTAAATACTTACCAAATGTAGTTGCAGTCTTCTTTGGCTTGACCACTGCCTCAGTACCCTTTTTGGCCTTTGGGTAACACATACTGAAACGCTGTTCCCCAGTCTTGGTTTTTGCTTGCTGTCGCCCACTGTTCTCGTTATAATGAAGAGCGGCAATACTCAATCTGTAAATATGAATATATAAATTAGTCAGACAATATTTCTGACATTTGCATAACTAGTGTATTGTTTGTATAATATTTTAATAATGAAATGCAACATTTGTTTAAACAGTTTCTCTTATAAATCACACAGTTGGTTTTATCCAATTCTAGTCCAGTAACGGCTCATTGTATGAAATACAGTATTGCATGCATTGGTAATACAAAATACAAACTTTATAGCTTACTATACAGTGCAGGTTTTGCTAATTGGTGAAGGCTGCACAGTGACCTATATATAGAAATCATAGTTACTAGTACTTCTATGTTATTTGTCTCCAGTGGATAGTTGATTTATTGGCAATCATACCACATCTTCTAATTTTTATAAAATTAACTTTATCAGTTATTACCTTGCAAGCATTGTTGGGTAAAAGAAGTGGGTGCTCTTTGGGCAGAAGTGGTTCACCAAAGAATGGAACACCTCCAAGGAATATGTCTGGTAAACAGGTGATAACTTGGGTACATCTACCAATAGGTACCTGCTTTCCACAATGTCCTTTAGTCTCTTGTATGGAACTGAGCCTGAAACATGAATTACCAATAAACATTACATTTTTTTTTTCTAATCATTTAACTTTATTCATTATTCAATGTTCTTTTTTATCATATTGAAATATGTCATTTCATGTTTTATGTACACCCGCCTTGTTTTAATATATGTGTATCATATTAAATTACTTCGATGAAAAAACAAGGTTAAGATATTTCTATATTGATTTTCTTTCTTCTTGATTTTTTTTTATGAGAATAAAGAGAACAGATTTTACCTTCACTTAACCACTGTCGGTCTACTGTGATAGGCTGGTGCTCACATCTCGGATAAAGTATGGAGTGGTTCTCATGTTTGTTGCTGATGTGGTTTACAATCGATCTCCATTTTGCCAACTTCAGGTCTCCGTTAGTACCACAGGAAGACGATATCCAATAGATGTGGTTGACTATGGACTTGATCCATGGACGAATGTCCTTACTGCCCGACTTCTTTGCAGCAGCTTCCAGCTTCTTATATATTCCTGCAAAATAAAAGAGATAATGTAAAAACAGATTTTGCAAAATTATTGATATGAGTTGTAGCTTAGTACATTGATTGATTGTTGGTTGCTCAACGTCCAGTGGCAAATATTTCATGCATGTTCAGGACGAGGTAGCTTAGTACATGTACTGCACAAATTTTCAAATTTAATAAATAAAATAATATAATAATTTTTCTTGCATTAAAAGTATTTAAATCTTATCATATATGTTGTTGGCTTAAATGACAAATTTAAAGTTACCTTTAGCTACATGCCATACATCAAACAGGTGGTTTGTTGTGTCTTGCTCTGTACGCATGAACTTCTTGATTGAAGAATGCCTGTCAGTGACTAGATCTTTAATTTTGATGTGCATCATGTCCTCTAGATATCTGATGGACCTCTTTAAACCTTCAAACTCCATATGTGCAGAGCCTTTCACTTCGTTACACTGTAAAAAAATAAGGACGTTTTAAAAACATGAACTGCTTTGGTTTAAATATATGTATACAAAAATATATTTATTGGCCACAATGTTAATACAACAACCGTAAACACGATTAAAGAACTTTTTTTTTCAACGTTTTTTTTTTTGTACTGAAAAAAGTTGTAAATTTCTGAGTAACTTCATATAAAAACAAATACAATATTTGTTTGCATGCTCTCTTTAGTTGGTGTTTACCCAGAATATCCTTTTCTCAGATACTTGGAGTTATCGTCTTTTCCAAATTAAAATATTCAGAAAAAGCTTTCTTTTTTATTCGAACTGATGATTTTCATCTTATTTCAACATACCTGTACTAATTGGAAGTCTAAAATCTTGCTGGTCTCCAAATCCATGATGGTGTATGACCCGTACTTTGCCGAATAACCAGGAGAGTCACATCTTGCATCCCCACCAACAATTACTTCTTTGTCATACAGGTCTGTGAGAAGTGCTGTCTGTTCTGCATCCCAGGCCATAGAAGCAGATGGAGAAAAAATACAAAGTCTGCAGTCTGTTGTAAGTTCTTGAAGATATCGTCTGCAGGTTGAGGTGTTGAAACATCTGAAGAACTTTACTTGAGTTGGAACCGCTACACAGGATGGCAGTTGCTGTCATCAGATTACCCCATGGTAAGGTATTGTGGCAAGATACATGCCCATTCAAACAGACTGTGTTGGTGACAACCATGGAACCTCTGGTATTCTTTATAAGGGCAACAGCTTCCCCAGAGCAGTAACGGCAAACAGATAAGAGCTCGGCTAGTGCTGACTCACTCACCATGAACTGTTTTTCTTCAGCTGGGGTAGCCTTGGAGTTGAGTTTGTAGTTCATTTCAGACTCAGTATCTGAATCATCATCAGAACTGGAAAATAAAAAAAAATGTTTCTAAATGACTGTTTAGATCATTGGACTTTTGACAAGGTCAAATATGGACTGACTGGTTCTCAAATTATATTGAGAGAGGATGAAGTCTGAGGACACGTTCGATATGATCTACTTATATGGTTCATATATAACCTTTCGACTGAGTGAATATCTTTAATTGGTATATTATATGTAAATCGTTTATTACGGAAATAGACTTATGACTATGTGGTATGGGTTTTTCTTATTGTTGAAGGCTGGACAGTGACATATTGTCCTTAATTTCTATGTCTTTTAGTCTCTTGTAGAAAGTTGTCTCATTGGCAATCATACATGTCATACTTACTAATTATATGTTTCAAGATTTAAAAAAAAAAATTAAAATCTTGTAACTATTTCATTTTCATATTGAAAATATTCACTGATGAATGTGATGAATATCAATAATATACAAAATCAATCCAACAATATAATACCTACAACATGTACAATACAACTTATTTATATACCTCATTTCATCATCTGTTGGATTGAAGTCTGAGTCATCACTATCTTCAGGTTCTGCACTATCATCATCACTGTCGCTAGGGTTCTCTGCTTCTTTGGGTGATGGTTCATCTGTCTGGGTTGCTATTGTGCTAAAAGTCTTTATCTGGACAGTCAAAACACCTGTTATCTTGCTGTCTGTCTGGTGACCCCTTGTTCTCCGTTGTGGCTGCAATCTTACTTGAAGCTTCTTATTCACCATCCTGATGGATGTAATAGGCTTGGGAGGAGATGTTTCCACTGTCATGTTCGGCTGTGGTATTACTTCAACTGAATCACTTGGAGTACATGTAGTAGGAACGTCTGTGTCATCCAACTGGACAGATGTGGCTGTGTCTTTTTGCTCTGGAGTCTGGGTTCTCACATGACTGTCAAATGCCATTTGTAGAATCTGTAACATACATTTTAAAATTAGTGAAACTCATAGTACATATATGTGAACTTGAAAGCAAGTAAATAAGTATAAATTATATGCTCATCACTTAAATTTCACATTTTAATAACAATTAAAAAAAATAATTTATAGTTAAATAAGTTTGTAAAATTTGCAAAACTGATTTCACAGTTATTGATATAAATATTAATAAATGCACACACCTGTGTCTTACAATACGCGATTCACCTATTTACCTGTATAATTACATTTCACCGTCATCACTGAAGTAGAATTAATTTACTGTAATACACAAACCCCTTTAGAAAGTTGTCACTCTTTCCCACGTGTAATGAAAATCCCCGTATCTGTAAAACATTTATCGAGAAAATTCTGTAATCAGGTATTTAACTAACCGCTTGACCACCTGCTAACAACGAGATCAGCTGATCAATGGCGCGTGTACACACACCTGGGGCGTGCACACCTGAATCGAAATTAGTAGTGAAGCTGTGTGCAATGATTAAATAATTAAACACGATCAATGTTAAATAACATATAAATGATCTGATATATCTATAATAAAAACATGAAACTATAAAATGCCGTAGACAAAAATAAAATTTACCTCTGCCTTTCTGCGTTTCTCAAAAGCACCTCTCCTGGTGGGGATGCTCAGCTTCTCGCCATCTTTGATACCGGTGTCAGGTACAAGTACATCGGGCTTTGCGTCGGGACGTAGAGTTAGCTTGTATGTCATTTTAAGTTGTAACATCAAATCTGGATCTTTTGTAAAACTCTGTTTTGAGAAATGCGCCGAACATAATCTGTGGTTTGGTCTAGGTACAAAGTTCCACCTTCTGCAATAATGTGTCCACGCTTTCCGGAGTTGAACATCAGCTGGGAAACGAAAAAAACTGATCCCAGTGCCTTTCTTCGCTTCGTTGTTGCACCCATAAGCTGCACAATACACCATGGCTGGTTTGCATTGATGTCAGTGTTGCACGAAAACGTATTTTGATTATTTTTGCTAATGATAAGATAAGTGATTGATGCTGGCAGTCAGAATGGTCGTAAAGTGCCTGTGACGTCACAGGCTCGAGAGCCTCGTTTTCGCAATGAATTTTTGCATATTTTACAGGTCAACGAGATGTCAATCAAATTGACCTATATATACGAAACTGGATACAGGTAGTTGAAAAAACCTTTACACAAACATCTTTCAAGCCAAATTATAGAAAATAAAGCAAAAACCCGATTTCATGTCAGGTCTCCTTTAAGTCTTTGTAAGTTTAATGGTTTCAGAAATTATCCCCTAACAAAGTATAAGTTCAACGGTCAAGGCCAACTTTAGAGAATTTGACCTTGAGGCATTTTCAAGGTCACATAATTGATTATCATTGGTGAAGATCATAGGTGTCTACATCTGTCCAAATGTAACGAAGTATCAGGGTGAGTTCCTGAACAAATTCCAGCTTTCGGTTTTTCTGTCTAACCATTACGGTGTTCATTTCACTAACAAAGTTTTTGGAAGATAACTCCGGACCGACAAAAATTTCCGGATAGGTATTCGTGACACCAATACAAAGTGCGACCCAGAAACCGACATGTCTTACGGTTACGGAGGTAAATTTTTATCAAAGTTTCTCTGAAGGATAATAAAATCAGAAGAAAACAGTAAGGTCTTTCTATTTTGTTCGTCTGGTTGGTTCTGACAAATCACTAAACCATAAATTAACTCGGTGAATTGATAAAAGCATGCCTTCTATCAACATATTAATATGAGAAAATAGCGTTTGTGATCTCCTGGTCTGTTTATATGTTTGAAAGGCTTATACATTGTTATGATAACAAGCTCTAAAATTGTGAGCCTGTTGCTTTATATTTTTTTTTCTTTGTTTATATTTATCATATATCAGGCCGTGTGTATTCTCACTTGAATTGTTTCGCAACCAAAACTTTTGAAAGCCAATAAAATAAAACGTTTGAAAAATTATAAAAACAGGACCAACAGAAATATAGCAAAAACCTTCTCAACTCAGTTTAGCTTAGGGTTAAGTATTTGCAACTTTAAGTAATTCCTTTTCTAAAAAATAGCCACTGTCACTTTTTTATGTATAATTTTAGATAATATGTGTAAAAAAAAAGCTGTAACTTTATATATCATTGTATCATGAAATCATCTACCCTTCCATTACATCGAGCAAAAGTAAATATAGAGAAAATATATTTAGTTTAAATCTATTTTATTTGCCCAAATGAATAAAGAAAATAAACCACATATTTTACTAACTTAAAGTATTTCCTTTTCATATATGTAACAATTGAAATTCTGTTAAAAATATGCCATTTATCGTCCAAGCAGACTTTTTTGAATAACTTGTGTTGTCTCTTTTATCTACAAAAAAATATCCATCATCAACAAATTTCCATATTGTCCCATAAAGGCATATGATTAAAATATTAAAACATTCCGTCCATTGAAAGTTATGGTCAAGGTCAGAAACCTCGATAGTTGTCTTTATTTATCATTAAAAATGTTGTTGTTATCTAGAGAATATAATGTTAATGGCAGATTGTTAACTTTATTCTTTCTGTTAAATTTATTCACAACTTCTTGGATTTGTGACGAATTAAAGACGAACATATTGTATAGACAGCTGAATTTGTTGCCTTTTATATGTCTTTTGCTTATTTGTGTTGGGTCGATGTCTGAGTGACGTATATTTCATTTTAAATTGTATTTATATCAAATGCAGACCTGTTTCTGTATTGTTACGAATCACAATTTATGACTAAAATCAGCAAAAACCGATCGAAACAACATCTGATACAAAAATTTAATAACGCTTTTAGATATTTGGATATGTTAGCTCTCAATAATGACGACTTCAGTATGTACACTAAAGAGATTTATCCTTTTTAACTGACTTTAAATAAAGATAATACTAACAATGTACACTGCCCTTTTCTGGATCTTGATATCTTTATTTCTTACGGGAAGCCTAATACTAATATGTACGATTTTTCATTTCCTATTGTTAATTATTCATATTAAGATAATGGCGTTCCTTTGGCACCATCTTATGGTGTTTATATATCCCAACTTGCTCGATTCGTTCATAAATGTAAGAACGTGTTTGACTTTAACGAAACAAATCTCTTTATTACTGAAAAATTATTACTCCAGGGTTTTAAAACTTGTCAAAACTTCTACTAAATTTTATCATTGGTACAAGGAAATCTTTCGTAAATATAAATCAACGTGCAGACATCTTATACATTCAGGTATTTCACACCCCCATTTTTTATGGTAATATTCTATACAAAGCACAAAAAATGTCGTCATTGAACTCAAAAGCCAACCAAACCTTTTAAAAACAGTAAAATTGAGAAAGGAAATGGAGAATGTGTCAACGAGACAACAACCCGACCAAAGAGCAGAAAACAGCCCAAGGCCACCAATGGGTCTTCAACACAGCGAGAAAATCCCGCACCCTGAGGCGGGCATCAGTTAGACTTATTCAGATATAGTTACAATACTGTTGTCAAGTCATTAAAGATAGCTTTTTCAGGAATTAATATTGATTCACTCATATGTTCTTTGCATTGGATTTTTTTTTATTCTAAAAACAGTTGTTGACATGATTCAGGTTCGTATAATTTATGATGGTATGATACTTAACCTTTAACGGAAGGGATTGTGCTTGATTTTCAAATGATGAATACATAATCTTTCGATCAGTTTAATTGAGGTCTGGAGCTGGCATGTCAGTAACTGCTGGTAGTCCTTTGTTAATTTATGTTGATCATTGCCATTTAGCTTAGTTTCATCTGTTACCTTTTCTTACATCGGACTCGAACTTCTTTTAAATTGAGTTTTACTGTGCGTATTGATGTGTGTTTGTTTATTCCAAATTGGTTAGAGGTTTATGAGAGGGTTGAGATCTCACAAAACATGTTTAACCCCGCCCTGTTGATGCGCTTGTCCCAAGTCAGGAATCTCAAGCCTATGCTTTAATTTTGGTTCATTTAATAGTATATGTTTCGAAGTTAAGTATGGCGTCCATACACTGAACTAGTATATATTATTGTTAAGGGGCCAGCTAAATCCCGCCTCCGGTAACTGGATTTTATCGCGGCGTTGAAGACCCATTGATGGCCTTGGACAGTTTTCGGTTGTCGGGTTGTTGTGTCTTTGACACATTCTCTGTTTCTATTCTCAATTCTGTATTTTTTTTAACAGTTTTTACATACCCATATTAACAATTGCATCTACATTTCAGTTTAACCGGATGCCATTTCTTTCTTTTAACACACTTTCCACTTTTACATCCCTTTTTAAGGCGGTCACAACAGAAGTTACAAGCTTTCTTTGACGGACATCCTCCCCATTGACATGTTATCTTTATTCCTCCTTCTGCTTGATTTATCGTCATGCCTAAAAGAATAAAATGAGAACTTGAGGATTTTATTGGGAACAAAACAGAAAGATTTCTAAACTATAGAATCACTGTCAAGAATATACTAGGAGTACATTATAAAATAGCTGATCTCTGTTTAATGTAATAGTGAATAACAAAAGAGAGCGTACGACTATCGATATAGCATTAACTTATTCTCTGTTTTTATGTAGTTAATTCGTTGAACATGCTATCCTTTATTCAGTCGACGTTGTAGTCGTGGCGTCGGCGTCGTCATAATGGATGGAACGATTAGAAACCTAAAGCAATCAAGGCAAACAAATGTACCTCTTCTTTAACGCTGATATACATATAATGTAATGTAATTAGTTTGTGATTCGTCTAGTCTATTTTTCTGTAGGGACAAGCACATCAATCATATAAATTATGAGGAACCGTGAATGAAACATTACAACCAGACAACTAGATGGCGTTCTCTAAGATGATCAATTGTCAAGTTGTTTTGCTAGCATAACATTGTCCCAAGCCTAGACAAATTAGAGGCAGTAGTAGTTTGCCGATAAATGTTCAAATCACATAAAGCCATTAAGAACATGTAGATACACATCAAGGTGAAAAATTAACTTGAGGGAATAGCATCTAAATAGGATCGATATCGGGTGCGTCGATATGACAAGCGTGTCCTGCATGGGGTTTGGGCGTTACTGATGATTGTAAATCGAGAAAAGCGCGTCCGACACAGTTTATAAGTTGTTATTTTCAGTTATCATAAAACTTGGTCAATACCACTGCTGGGGGACTGCTAGACCCGATCGTATCATCAGATCTGTAGCAAGTATTTCAGTACCGACATGCTCTTTAACATACAAAAAAAGTTGAAATTGCTAAGAAATTAGGGTTCCCACTCCTACAGGCAAAGTTGATCTAAACAGAATTTGGCCATTCTTTGTATGTCCCTGTATAAAGCTCCTGACGTCTCTACGTATTTATACATTTCTTGCTTTAAAGTATTTAGGTTTGAGCGTTCCTAGTGGAGTTTAATCCAGAAATGCATGTATCACAAGTCCCAAGTAAATTTTAAAGAAACTTCCAGGTGACATTTACATCGAATTCATAGTAAATAAACACGAGACATATGAAATCTTACCAGAAAGGCAAACGAGTAAAATGATAACAGCAACACGTATTTTCATGGTGTAATTCTGAAATCAAAATTTACTTTACATTAACAATGTTAACCAAGAACAAAAATCAAAAATTACACAAAAAGCATATAGTTACATCTAGGTGATATAAATTTAGCTACTATTGGTTTATATAACATGAATATTCTACAAAACAAAATGCAGGATTTAATTGTGTAAAAAAGTGAAAATAAATGTTCGCAAATAAAAATTAGCATGTGTAGCTACAGATAAGAATAATGAATATTCGAACCATACATCATTCCCAGAAAAATATCCAATGGCTATCCCATAACTGAAGATTGACTGTTATATTCCTGTTTGCGCATGACAGCGAAAATCTATATTATAATAAAGTGCACAAATGATCAAGCGTCTCTGTAAAGGCTAAAAAGGCATATATATTATGCCAAATACCATTTAAGAGGGGATAAAAAAGGCATATTATTATCCATTTGCCTCGACGATGTCAAGAAATGAACAATACACATCTTATCAAATAAAATGCACGAAAATACACTAGCTATCAACCAATCCAAGTCAATGATACCTTTATTAAGGTTTATTATGTCTTAAATAGCATTGACAATGCTCGTATCCAAAAATTTGTTATAATATAAAACAAAACTCATGAAATATCAAAATATGTAAGCTGAAAAAGAGATTAAGAGAGAGAAAAAGGTAGAAATATCAAGGAATTTATAGAAATTGGGGAAATGCTATTATCAAAAAGATTTTACTTATCTAAAATAAGCAAATATTAGCAACTAGTATATTCTTACCAAAATTTCTGTATATGTTGATTGAGAGCCAATGGAAAGAAATGCACCACTATGGAGACAGCCAGGCAGTTAAATAGCTAGGCTGTGTAACAGATTGACATAAAGTTTATTACATCATTCTTTTTAATAGTGTATAGAAGTTGATAACTGGTCTAAAATACCGTGTGTTGCAATTTTAAATACTTTCTTTCTTGTTCTAAACAAATGTTAATTTATTCTTATCCGACAAGAATCAAAAATATTTTCACAATAACACGGAAGTCCGATTATTAATTCAAACATGAAATCAATTGTATTTCTTTTAAATGAAAATTAAAGTAAAAACTGCGAATTGTTCGTTATCCTATTAACACTAAGTCACATTGTATGTTTGTATTTATGTTTGTATGTCTTTTATCGCCGAAACGTCTTTTTAGCTAACTTTTCTAAATGCCATGTGAGTTTTTGCCATCGTAATTAATGCGTCCGTTAGCATTTCTAATTCGGTCTTCCACTTAGGAAACACTAAACAGACAGAGTAAAAAAAAAAAAAACAACTGGCAGAGATGTTCTTTACAAAATCCTTTCAAAATTTTATTTTGTGGGTACCAATTTGTTTAAAAACAACTGCGCCATAGTAGTATGAACGTAGATCATTTGGACCAATCTTCCGGTATATATACTTTCCAACTCATGCATTGCCTGTGTCTGAAGTGACGATAAATTTTTCAATGAACGCAATCTGTCTACCACTTGTAAATTATAAAGTCAGTGATTTCTTTACCACAAATAACTTAAATCTCTCCTAAATTCCTTCATAGATACAAAATTTGGTTATGAAATTTGACTGTACATGTAGAAAACTTATTACAAACGGATTATCACGTCCTCATGTTAATGGTGATGTTGTTAAAAGAGAATTAAAAGAAATATGCATGTAAATTTATCAATCTTCTGAATATTTATCAATTTACCACTGCACAAATATTAAAATATTGGGTTTTTTTTCGGTACTAACATTGATTTTGTAATGAATAAATTAAAACATATCTAAATATGTATTCCTAAACAGACATGAACTACGAACGGTCCTACGTCCTGATCCTGGCTTTTTTTTTAATTTTTGCATGACACAATGTCATGTTTTTCATAGTCTGATTATGAAGTTGTTTTCAGTAACTGCAAGTACGCTTAGATTGGTAGAAATGTTCTTTATAGTGAACTTATCAACTGTTGTTACTTCGGCCATGATGAAAAGCCCAATATGTCTTCAAAGGACAATAAATGGGGTCCGATGATCTAAAAAGTAAAATCATAAAAATACTGAACTCCGAGAAAAATTCAAAAAGGAAAGTCCCTAATCAAATGGCAAAATCAAAAGCTCAAACACATCAAACGAATGGATAACAGCTGTCATTTTCCTAATTTGGTACAGGCATTTTCTTATATAGAAAATGGTTTTTCAAGAACCAATAAACCAATTGAAACGAAACATGACAGTGATGTACCTGTGACAGTCTATAATAAGTTTTATTAATTTCATATTCGGACAAGGCGCAAGCAGAGGTCAAAGTTCACCTGAAACAAAACATGGACAAATGAAATACTTTACCATAGGTACCACGAACTGTAATTCAATAAATTTCAGGGTATTAAAAATTCTTATTTGACCTTGTTTGATAGAAAACTAAATATAAGGGATGTCAACGAGTACTCGGCAGTACCGAGTATTGAATACCAAAATGATACTCGATTAATCGGTTCCTTGTGAGTACAATGTCTCATTCTGTCAATAAATATTTTTCTGGAAAGCGCCCATCCGATGAATCTATAAAATAAATAAATCATAGTTTATGCGAAATTGTCATTTAAAATACTTCCGAAATCTTCCGTTTTGCAAAACTTTACAAAAAACGATTCACCATATTAAGAGAGAAACATCGTTTCGAAAAACAAACATAGTAACGTTAAAACGGACAGTAAGGCATCACATCGGTTACTTCTTATAATATAGCACCTTTGTAAATTTGTTTTCTTAAAGAGTATAAAATGCAGTTGTTTTTTTTTATCTAGTTAACTTTGTAATCATATATATTCAAAGGGTGCTTATTTAATTATTGACCAGCAAACAGTCAAATGCGTCTTATAATTGTTTTCTCATTTTGTAGATATTTTCCGAGCGATAACTCGAGTATCGCTCGATAAAACCAACGAGTACTTGATAAGTAATTCTTCAACGAGTTGACACCCTTCGTTAATATTCATATCTGCCGTGTTTTATCTTATTTTGGTATATTTCTGTTCAATGTTTGGAAACATTGTTGTTCGAATGTCTGGTTTCGGATTTCGAGCACCAGTTGTGCTAAATAAGGTATTGAAATGCACATACGGTGCATGACATTCTTTGGGTTGTTTTCTAATGTCGTTATTAGCGTCATTAAGTGGATTCAACTGATGGTGATTTGAAGTTCCCCGGATTTAACTTTCGTTGTAACATGTGCTGCTGTCCTGGCATAGTACTACTTTGTTAGTGATGCTAGAGATGTAAAATTACTTTTGGCAGAACTTTGTAGCTGTTTTGACATCCTCTCCCGATTGACAGTAACAAGCTATTTAAACTGAGGACGAATTGCATTTATCAATACAACAGGGTAAAATAAATGTTGCCAACTGCTGTTCGAGCGTTCTTAGGCAGAGAACCCCTTTATATCGGTTTATCTTCTGCTTGTATTTTGCTATTCAGCTTGACAATCATATAAAACAATGTTAAATCGGTCTTATTAACTTTGACCCGGACGTATCATCAACGTCATGATGTTTGAAAACACATTGATAAGTTTGACCCGACGTTAACGTTTGACCCAATCTTGTCCAGTTTTAGCTCTTCCGGTTTGCTGTAAAAGAAAGGAAAATCTGGTTTCTATCATAAAAAACACGCAAATATCATCCGCGAAATCGATTATCAGATTGTCTTTATATTGATATTGCAAAGTATCAGCTGCTTACCACAATATGAAGCCTTTTTGAACTCGTTCACTGCGACAGAAGCTTAATGTTGTGACTGGCAACTGATATTTTACAGAAGCAATATGCAGAAAGCCTGATAATCTGTAAAAATTCCCGATCTGAAACGCCAATTTTTTAAAGTTATTTGTATTGAAAGTTATAAAAAGGCTTCTGAAATCTTTTGAATATATTTAGATTAGAAATTCAAAATGTTCATGGAATTTACTTTTGTAATTTCGCAAGAGTATTGATAAAAAGCAAGATAACAATAATATAAAAATTGATTCCCTTTTAAACCCTTTTTAACCTCTCATCAGAATTAAAACAAGTGAATTTGTTAGTTTTTTGAAGAAAAAAGACGTGTTTCAATCTTAATCGAAAAAGCAAAATTGCAATGGCTCGATTTTTCCATTTAACTTATAAAATTTAAATATGACAAAATGATCAAATGTAGAGTATTTTTCATTTTGACATTTTAATTGAAAAATTGAAAAATGCTCCAATTTGGAACATATTCATTTTGACATTAACGATTGAAAAATGAAAAATTGAAACATGCTCCTATCTGCATCATTTCAAAATTGCTAATATGTGGAACACATTGGCATTTGTTTCAATATTGTTTTGTTTTATTATTTTCAAAATATCGACAATATTTTAAAAATTCTTTATTGATTGCTTTAATTTTATTTTGATTTCTTTAAATACACTACTTTTAAAGGACTTTTTATGAACTAATACGTGTGCATTATGTATGATATCAACTAGAAATATTTTAAACTGCTAGTTAGAAGTAATAAACAATTAAAATAACGTCTTTTAAACATTTTTCAACATCGCTGTCAGAGGTGGCGAATAAATAATTTTCCACAGTTATGCATATTCATTTTATCGTACAATTTCATCAATTTAAAAAATACTCAAAACAAGAGCATTTTCTTATTTGTGAAAATTTATGAAAAATGAAAAATAAACCATGATGTAACATTTTCTATTTTTATCGAGAAATTTACAAATGGAAAAACTGCTGAACATTTGAAAAATAGAATAGCAAAAATACCGAACTCCAGGGAAAATTGAAAACGGAAAGTCCTTTATCAAGAATATTACAGCAGTTAAATGTATTGGCAGTTTTAAAAACTGCGTAATGACGTTCTTGTTCTCAATAAGTTAGAAATGTAACCAATATTCTCCTATTATTATTTTTCCTTTTAATAAAGTAAGTTTTATCTACTTCGTATCCAGAAAAAAAAGTAAAAGAACAAAATACCGACCTCCAAGGAAAATTCAAAACGGAAAGTCCTTTAGGATGCACTTTGTAAATACAGCTGTTTCTCAAACCACGCCTCTTTTGGGGAGATATAGAATATTCTTAGATAATTAATTTTGTTTACATACTGGTTCCCAGTTATGATCTCTATGTTTCATCTCATAGAGACATAACTTGGGAATATTACCAGTAATATGCATATTGTTTATATTGAAATCTGTGGTAATCCTACAGTTAAAGCAGGGGTAGTTAAGAAATTTAGTGTTAGTTTAATCTCTTAGAAGTTCGGGGCATATAAACGTTGCAAATATGCCGCACAGCCCTATATTTTGACCTTTGAAAAAAATAGTAGTGCATATGAACTTTCCATTCTAGGATATGATTTTCAAAACTTCATAGTAAAAGCGGTACAGTTTTAGCCGTAAAAGGAGTTCCTATGGGAAATTGCATTGTCAATATTTACAGAAATGCAACCTTTATCAAATGGCAAAATCAAAAGCCCAAACACATTAAACGGATGGAACACAACTGTCATATTCCTGACTGGGTACAAGCATTTCCTCATGTAGAAAATGTTGGACTAAACCTGGTTTTATAGCTAGCTAGACTTCTGACTTGTAAGACAGTCGCATAGAATTCTATTTTATTGACAACAATGCGTGAGCAAAACATATAGACACAATAGGCAAAACTGTCACAAAACTGGGGTACAGCAGTCACCATTGTGGCATAATCCTAATCGCAATAAAAACAAAAAACTAATCAACAAAGAAAAACAAAATGGCATAAAAAACACTCTATAAACAAAGTACATAAGCAAAA